GCTGCCGCGCGAGGCCTGGCGCAGCAGCACGGCGGCAGACGGGGTGAGCGTGCCGCTGGGGCAGTCCTGCCGCGGCGCATCTGCGCAGGGGGCGTGGCGGCGGGGCAAAGCCGTCAGCAGGCCGGGCGGCGTGCGCGCAGGCTGGAGCTGTGCTGTGGCACAGTGGCAGGCCAGCGGGCAGGGCCGCACAGCAGCGGCATGCAGGGTGCGGCGTGGGGCAATGGGCCAGGGGCGGCATGGCGGCGGCATGCCACCTGGGGCGTTGGCAGGGGACCGCGGGGCGAGCGGGTACGCCGCCTGTGCCGCAAACGGCGAGGCCGCGGCTGCGCCGTTGGCCCCTGGAGAGCCGCGGCCATGCGAGAAGCGGGCGTGGCGGTGCGGCACCCCCTCTGGCAGGCTGCCTGGCGAGCGCGGCGGGCGCTCCTCCAGAGAACTGCGGGCGCTGCTGGGGGCGGTGCCCGGCGACATGCTGCTGGCGCTGTTGCTGCTGCCGCTGCTGTCGGAGCCGGGGTGGGCCAGCGCCTCGTGCAGCACGGTTGCCAGGTCAACCTGCACGGTCCGGAGCAGCATTGCCACACACGGAATGAGGAGGCGCCACGACCCGGAGCGCGGCAACCGCAGCGCGGCAGGCTGCGACATGGGCTGCTCAGGTGCAGGGCAGCACACCACCCCTGCCCCACCAGCGCACCTGCCCCGTCTTGCTGGCTAGGTTCATGACCAGCTGCTCCAGCACGCGGAACGGGAACATGGCGCCCAGCATCTCCAGAGAGCACTGCAGGGGGAGGGGGCAGGCGGGCTCGCGCGGGGCGGGGTTGGCTGCCGCTGGGCAACACCGGCAGAGCACCAAGCACGCCGGCCCTAGCTGTGCGAGCCCGGCTCAGCAGCCTGCTGGCAGGCGTTGCGCCACCACGGGCCACTGCCATCAAACATAACCCGGGCTCGGCAGCGAGGACGCACCTCCATGAGCTGCACGCTGGCGTGGGAGATGAGGCAGCCCATCTCGCACGAAAACTCGCGCAGCCACTCTCCGTCTATCGTGGGCGCTTGGCCGCGCCCGGCCACCACTACGGCGCCCAGCACGCGGTGCTTCTGGCCTGGCTGCTTCTGCTGCTTCTGCTGCTGCCGGGGGTCGCCGCCCGCGTTGCCGGCGGCAAGCGGCGCCACCATCAGCCAGTCGATGCCGGCGCCGCCAGCCTGCAGCTGCTGCCAATCGGCCAGCTCTTCCCTGCACAATCGAAGAGGAGGGGGCAAAGCGGGACTGAGCAGCAGCCAGCTGGGCGCGGCCACAAACAGCAAGAGCAGCCGGGGCCGGGACCGGCGGGGGGGCGCATCACCCTCGAGGCTGGGCATGCCCCGCCGCGCACCTGTCCTGGGTGCTGCCGTCCACCAGGACCACGCCCTGCTGCTTGATGGCCCGCAGGGTAGCGCTGGGCACGGCCAGGCTCAGAAATTTGGTAGGAGGCACACACTCCGCCGAGACCTTTCCCTCTCGGAGCAGGCAAAACGCCTCCAGGGCGTCTGCCTCAGCTGCCAGCGCTATGCTGCAGGGCAGGGAGGGAGAGTTGCTGATATGGTCCCCCGCTGCAGGGCTTGGGGCAGGTTTCTCAGGCAACGGCCGCGGCTTACATGAACGTGGGGTTGCCGGAAGCCCCCCACCAGCCTTCCTGGCCACGCCAAGGCCAAGGCCGCGGGGAGAATTAAGGAGGTTGTAGCTTGCGAGCCCAAATCAGTGGCCGCCAGGGTTTTACCCCCGGTAGATTTCCAAGGGTTGGGCGCGGTCTCGGCGCCCCGGCGGTGGGCAGCAGGGGTAGCGTAGCCAGCCCGGACGACCGCCATGACCCCTTCCTTGGCAGGAAAGCTACACTACCCCCCTGACATTGGGAGGGTGCAGCACACACCAGGCCCCCGGGCCGTGCGAGGGGGGCAGCCCGATCGCCCCGATTGAAGCAGAGCTCCTGCAAAATTAGCCTTTTCAACGACTGGGGGCATCCGGCCAAATACAAGGGGGTTCACCTCCCGCCGCGGTGCGCTTGGGGGGGCAAAAGCCCGCCGGACCCCGCCGCCCCGCCTGCCCTGCCCCGGGCGTTCCTTTCCCCTTTTGGCAGTTGCAACCAATGTTCTGTGTGGTTTGCATATTGATGCAACGATCAGCAAAAGCAGCATTTGCAAAATAACAATTTGCAAAAAAAATGCAAAATTTGCAATTTGCATTGGTATTTCAGAATTAAGCAACCGTTCGATGCTTTCGAACCTGCAGATCGCCAAGTGCCCGCAAGACCCTGCAGCATGGCCTCGCGGCAGCGGTCTGATGACGACTATGACATGCTGCTCAAGGTGTGACGACAAATTGGCATTTCCCCAAACCCTTGACTGCGTGCTCACCTGCCACTCAGCGCACCCCGGCCAGCTCCTGCCGGCCCGCACAGGTGGTGCTGATCGGTGATTCGGGCGTGGGGAAGACCAACTGCTTGAGCAGGTTCTGCCGCGGCGAATTCCAAGCCAGCTCCAAGCCAACAATAGGTGTGGGCAGACAGGCTGCGCAGCGTGGCACCCAAACCGCGAGCTGTGCAGCCGCGTGCAGTTCTGAGCAGCTCGCTCCTCTGTCTGCCCCCCAGGTGTGGAGTTTGCCACAAAAGCTCTGACGATCGAGGGAGACCTCATCAAATGCCAGGTGTCTGGGTGTGGGTGGGCGGGGTGGGAGCTGGTGGGATGTCATGGGGAGGGGGCTCAATGCTTTGCTACCACCGCTGCTCCTGTAGATTTGGGACACAGCGGGGCAGGAGCGCTACCGAGCCATCACAAATGCGTGAGTGGGCGGTGAACAGGCTTGTCTACCTGGCTGCCCACCCGGCTCCCCAGCTGCTCGTGCGTGTACTGGTGCAGAAACATCATGTGCTTGCATACCGCTGCTGCAGATATTATCGCGGAGCTGTTGGCGCGCTGCTGGTGTATGATGTGACACGAGCATCAAGTTTCGAGTCCATCCCGCGCTGGCTGAATGTGAGTGTGTGTGTCCGGGCACTGGACATCAACGCTGGTTCGGCAGAGCTGTTGATGCCCCATGCTGGGGCTTGGCGGCCTCGCCCAGTGTGCCTCCCCACGCCGCCTCCTGCGCAGGAGCTGCGGGAGCATGCCAGCAGCGACATGGTGGTTATGCTGGTGGGGAATAAGACCGACCTGGTTGACCAGCGCGACGTCAGCATGCAGCAGGGTCAGGAGCTAGGTGCGCGCAGTCTACGAGGACACCTGTGTGAATGATGACCATTTATTTGTTTCTCAATTTGTTGCTGACCCAGTCATGTCACTCCTTCTCCTGCTGTGTGCCCTCCTGCAGCCCAGCGCGAGGGGCTGCTGTTCATCGAGACCTCGGCGCTGGATGGCAGCAACGTGGAGCAGGCGTTCTCGCGGGTGGCGGCAGAGATCCACGGCATTGTGCGCAAGCGGCGGCTGGAGTCGCAGGCGGCAGAGGACGAGGAGCTGGCGCCCATGCCGCGCGGCATCAGCATACCCATCGCCGTGCAGCCCACGCAGCCCCAACAGCAGCAGTCGAGGTGCTGTAGCAGCTAGTGCGACAGCAGCTGGGCTGGCCCGCGCCTTGTACCGACACCAGTTGTATCAACATGTGGCAATCTGCCGCAGAAGGAGCGCCCCTCAATCTGACTGCCTGAATGCCCGGAACCTCCTTGCGCTCTCTTGTTTGTTGTGAACAGTTCAGCGATAATCAGTACTGGGAGCAATAGTTGGCAGAAGCTTCAGTCAAGTGGCAGTCAGATGTGGCGGTCGGTGGGAGCGAGGGGCGGCAAGCAGGCAGCAGACAAGGGAGCAAGAATGTGTGCAGCACAACGAGGCCAGGGCGCAGCACTTAAAAAACTGGCTGCGGGACGGGAAGAGTTGACACAGCCACGCATGGGCCCGGCAATCAGCCCCGGCCGCCGCGACCGCCTTCGCCCCTTCCCCCGCGGCCGCCCTCGCGCCCCCTGCCGCCCTCCCTGCCCATGCCTCCCCGGCCGCCGCCTCTGCCTCCGCGGCCACGGCCGCCACCCGCTGGCCTCTTCTCTGCAGGCAGGAGCAGGCGGAAGCGGAGAAAGAAAGAGGTGGGCAGAAGGGCAGGGAGGCAGGCCGCGAGTGCTGGTCCATCAAAGCCGACGCAGGCCATCATCAGTCATGCCAGCACCAGCACCAGGCTCAGGCTGCTGCCCGGCCTCCCATCGGCTCAGCTGGCCCGCCCTGCCCCGCTCACCGTCCCGCCGGAAATCTGCCTCCTTAGCCTTGTCCAGCACCTCGTCGGGCACCCGCAGGTACTTGATGGTGTTGCCGCGGATGTAGGCCTCGGGCATGCGCCAAAACCGGTCGCCGTCCTGGAGGGAACAAAGCAGCCCGCGCACACCATCAAGTCAGAATGGGCGTCGGCACCAGCAGTGGCTCTGCCTTTGCAAGCAGGCACAGTTGTGCACCCCCCGCACAAACCCCGGGCAGCACCTTTGATGTGCAGATGACCTCCCGCAGGTGGATGTTCATCCATGTGTCGCACTGCACCATGTGGCCATTGTACGTCTCCCCATTCTTTAGCTCAATCAGCTGCAGAGGGGCAGCAGGCAGCAGGCAGGCAAGCCGCATTCCGTTTAGCAGGACTGTTCAGCTGCTTGGTGGCACTCGGCGGCAGTGGGCTCGTCCCGTGCGAGCAGTTGATGGCCACACCACTGCTGAGGTTACACCGGAGCCGCATGCACAGGCCAAATCGGGCTGTCCAACCTTTTCAGGCCAGCTTTGGCCCATAAAATGCAACCCCAGAAAGCGAGCGGGCGGGCGGGCAGTGGCAGGTCGGCAGGCAGCAGCAGGGGGCTCGGCGCCGTCGTGCGTCGCCGCCTCCGTCACGTTCTTTGTCGCTGCTGAGTGGATCCACGCCGGGGAACCAGCCAGCAGCAGCGCCCCAGGCCAGGCGAGGGCGGTGATGGTGCGCACTTACCACCGGGTGCGCCGCCGCCGTCTTCAACAGCACCAGAGGCAGCATGGCGGACCGCCAATGGCCTCAATCGAGAGCAGGAAGAGCCAGCAGGGGAGGTGGCCACTCGATCAAACCCGTGTGGTATGCCCAGAGATCCCTGCGCTATCGGTAGCAACCGGTGTTCAAAGATAGACAGGGGGAGGGGGCGGCGGGGCGCTGCATCGCCCTGCCTTCGAAGAAAGGCACGGTTCTTCCCGACGGAGTGGCCCTGGCAGGCCCTCTTTCGCCCAGCCGCCAGCATCTCACAGGCACACTTGCATGGCAAGCTGATGGCGCCCAACAAGCAGAATGGAGCCCCGGCAGCAGCAGACAACGCCGAGTCTCCCGTCTTGGCCTTCTGCGCCAAGCGGCTGAGGAACCTGCGCAAGAGGCTGCGCAATGCCGATGAGATCCAGGCGAAGCTGGAGTCTGGGAAGGCCCTCAACCCGGACCAGGTGTGCATGGCCTCCTCGGCTGCCAACTGAGGCCGCCGTGCCTCTGGATATGCCCAGACCGACTTGCACTCGCGCCAAGAAGCGCCTTTTGCCGCGGATGGCTTCAGCTCGGTCGGCATGCCGCTGATCGTTGCCGCTCCCCTTGCAGGAGCTGGCCCTGTCCAGCAAGCCGGGCCTGCTGGCGGCCATAGAAGAGCTGGAGAAGATGGCCTCCGGCCTGAAGGAGGCCCTGAAGGAGGAGCTGGTGGCCGCGGCCGCCGAGGCCCGCACCAAGGCGCTGGCCCAGGCGGAGGCAGGTGCACAAGCTCCTGCCCCTACACAGGGCTTGTGCAGTGCCCCCATCAGGGGTCGGCACGCCCGGGTTGGCGCCCTTGCGGCCTTTGCTGGCCTTGCCTGCCGTCACTGCTGCCCACGCTGCGCCTCCCCTCTCACCGCCGCTGCCCCTCTCTGCACTGCCCGGCCTGCCGCAGCGGCGCGTGAGAAGGCGCAGCAGCAGAAGGGCGAGGCTGAGTATGTCGCTGAGCGGGAGGCGGCGGTGGCTGCCGCCACCGAGGCCGCCAAGGCTGAACTGGAGGCGGAGAAGGTGCGGTGTGTGGGCTGCAGAGGGTGGGGCGCCTGGTCTCCAGGGAAGGTCCTCCAGGGACGAGCACTGGCTGCAGACACACGACGGCGCTCCGAGCACCGTGCTGGTGCATTGCCGCCGCCGCTGCTCGCAGGAGAAGGCGGTCAGCGCCGCGGTGGCCGAGGCGGTGGCGGCCGTCAAGGCCGAGGTCGAGGCGGGCGCCGCCGAGGCGCTGGAGGCTGCCCGGGCCGAGGCGCGGGCGGCGGCTGCGGAGGAGGCTGCGGGCACCCTGCTGGACCTCATGTATCTGGGCAACGTGAGGCCCGCCTGGCCGGCTGCCTGCCTGCAAGAGGGGCCGGCTGGCTGCGGGCTGCCTGCCTGACGGGCGCAGCAGCGCGCGCACCGGAGGCACAGAGCAGCCACGAGATGCAGCTGGGCGCCGGCAGCAGCAAGTGGCGCGGCAGCGTCATGGCCGCGACGCACCGGCGCGCTGCGCCCCGCCAGCAGCGTCAACCCTCGCCGTCCCTGCCTCCCTCCCCTGCAGAGCTTCGACACCATGACCCGCACCCCCTACCTGGCCCAGATTGCCTACCACGAGCGCGCCCACGCCGTCGCCTACGCCCAGCACTTTGGCGTGGCGCTCACGGGTGGGCGGCGCGCAGCCGGCTGGTGTGGCTGGCCGGGGCTGAGTGCTGCTGGACGCAGCGGCCAGGGGAGCGCGCCTGGGTTGTTGGGGCGGCATGGCCTCGTAGGGTGCGGCCACGCAGCCGTGCGTGTGTTTGGGCGAGGCCCCTCTTTGCCTCACGTCTTTTGGCCTCCCTCACCGCCCACACACCACCACCACCACGCCGCACCACCCCTGCCCGCAGACGACGACCTGAGCGCTGTGGTGCTGGCCAGCCATGCTCTGTCCATGCGCCTCCCTCTGGGCGCCCCCATCAGCCACGCCGAGGCGCTGCAGCACTGCAAGGAGCTGGCCGCCAAGCTGCTGCAGCGCAGCAGCGAGCAGCAGGCGCTGCCGCCGGGCGCGCCGCCCACCACCCCCCTCACCTGTGCGTCCACCGGCAGTCGCGCTGTTCCTGCACAGTCCTTATGCTGCTGCTGCTGCTGCTGGATATGGACAAGCCAGCAAGCCAGCAGCTCCTCGGGAGCCGGAGCCTGGCCCCTCCCTCACCCACACATTGGCTGCCGCGCCTGCTGTGCCCGCTGTGCAGACGCTGAGCTGGCGGACAAGCTGGCGGCCATCAAGTCGCTGCAGCTGTTCCCGCTGGTCCCGCCCTACCCCATCCCGGCCATGGTGCAGCCCGCCTCCAAGCCCGCCTCGCCCGCCCCCGGCCAGGCCGGCGAGGAGGCGGCGCCCGCTGCCGCCGCCGCCACCGCGGCACCGGCTGCACCTGCCGCCGCTGCCGCTGCTGCCGCGCCCCGCACCGTGTCCCCTGGTGCCAGCGGGGAGCTGCCCACCGCTGAGCAGGCGGCTGCCTCTGGCCAGAATCTGGTGGGGCACTTCTTTGGAGGCGCTGCTGCGGCGGCGCCCGGCGCCGACGGCTCCGCCCCCACGTCTGAGGCCCCTGCCGCCGCTGCCGCGGCCCCTGCTGCCGAGGAGGGCGGCGCTGCGGGCGAGGGGGCCACCCCCGAGGATGCCCGCTACCCTGTGGTGCACCAGGTGTGGGGGGGCGGGGGTGCCTCCTGGCCTCCTGCGCAGGCCTTCACTGCCTGCTGCAGCTGGTGGCGGGCTGCATGCCACCCAGCCTGTGCAGCTCCTGGCTGCTGTGCTTCATAGAATGCGACTGTCCCTTGCTGTAACCCGGTGGCGGCTGCACCCTCCCCCTGCCCTGCTGCAGGCTGACCCGGGCTTCACAGCCCCGCCCGCAGACAGTGTGCCGCAGCCCGGCGCCCTGTCCTTTGCCGGAGACAAGTCGCTGGGTATCTCTGGCCCCCTGGATGCCGCCGCGGGCGGCAGCGGTGCCGCCGAGGCGTCTGCCGAAGGTGGCGCTGCCGGCGCGCCCGACGGCATGCGCTCCGGCCGCGGCGGCGGCCGCGGCGGCAGCGCCTGGGGCGGCCGCGGCGACGGGCGTGGCCGCGGCCGCTACTACAGCACCCCCGGCCGTGGCCGCAGCGGCGACTTTGTGCCGCGCGGCGGGCGCGGCGGAGAAGGGTATGGCGCGCGTGGCGGCGGCGGCTTCCGCGGCGGCCGGGGCCCGCAGGAGGGCGGCTACGGCGGCGGCCGCGGCGACATGTACCGTAACGAGGGAGGCTGGGGCCGTGGAGGCCGCGGCGGGCGTGGGCGGGGTATGCAGCCCGCAGCCGCCGGCACCGCGCCCCCGCCAGCGGCCGCCCCCGCGCAAGCCGCCCTGCTCTGACGAGGCACCCACCTTCCTTGCTCTCGCTTGATCTCAACAGGCGGTGGGGGCGCGTGCTACCACGCTGCCGCTGCCGCCTGGCTTGCCTCCACCCCTTTTGCCATTTGTCTGCCGCACCTCTTGGTTCCACGCTGCACCCCACTTCTCCGCACCAGCACAGCGCACCGCGCCCTTGACCCCGCTAATCGTTTTTCTGTTGTTGGCGCGTTTGCATTGTTCAGCTTGACTCGCTCGCATCTCCTAGCTCCCCCGCTCTCCGGCTCTGTTTATCCCGCACCGATGACATGTAAGACCCACATGCCACCCATGCTCTGGCACGAGATGAGCACGGGCAGCAGGAAGGAGAAGAGATGTCAACACCGTTTGCCTGCACTGCTGTCCACCCCTTCTACTGTGCCACCCCTGCATATTGGCGGCTGCCACCTGCCAACTTTGGGTATAGCATTCCATCAGTCAAAAATTCCAGTTGGTCGGCACGCAAAAATCCGGGGACAGGAGCAGTAGCGGGGGAGAGGGGCAAGCACGAAGAGCAGGGAGGGAAGGTAGAAGGGGGTTGGTTGGGGGAGCGGTTGCAAGGGGCGTTGCCCCGCTGCGCACCCCCGCCTGCCTGGTGTTGAACTGAAAGTGTGTGATCAAATTGATAGCAGCCCTCCTGGATTCTTGCTGGGCAGGCGGGGCCGATACTCGGGAATCTCGAGACGAATTGGGGCGCCGCTGCCGGCGCCGTCAGTGCTCACGTGGACTCAAGCAAGCGGTGGGGAGGAAGGCTAGTCCTCCTTTGCCTTGGCGGGGAGCGCAGCTGGCTTGTTGACAAAGTTGCGGCCAATGAACTTGAGCACCTGCTCCAGGCAGGCAGGCAGGCAGGCAGGCAGGCAGGAGGGGGGCAGGGTTAAAAGCGCTGGCTGTGCACAAGCAAAAAACACATCGGTGATGCCACCTGCACACCCCACCCAATCCACAACAACCCCACCAACACCCACACATCCACACATCCACACACACACACACACCTCGTCCAGCAGGATGACCGGCAGCGAGTATGCCAGAACCAGCAGGCACTCGTTGAGGGAGAGGGGCACGATGGAGAAGATGTCTGCCAGCAGGGGCACGTACAGGATGACAGCGTGCAGGCCCAGGCTGACCACCATGGCCACCAGCAGCCAGGGGTTGCGCCAGGGGGGCATCTGCACCAGGGAGTTGTCCTCGGACAGCGCGTTCATGGCGTTGCTGCACGGGGTGGGGTGGGGTGGGGGTGAAGGGAAGGGGGGGAGTGAAGGGAAGGGTGTGAGCAGCAGGGCAGCAGCGCTGACACACAGCAGCATCAGGGCACTGGTGCACAGCTGGCGGTGGTGGCAGCATGGGTGCGTGACTGCGACCGAGGGCGCCCTCCGCCCTCCAGCACACCCCTGCTCACACCACCACCACCACCCCCGCCCAGCTCACAACATCTCGATGGCCACCAGCACCGACAGCGACAGCGTGGACGCCTTGACCTTGCCCACAGTGAAGTAGTCGCAGGGGTGGTCAAAGGTGACGGTGGCGCTGCCCGCGGTGTAGGGAGAGGCCTGCAGCGGGCAGGGGCAGGGGCAGCGTCGTGCGCAGGCGAAGACCAGGAACAGGCTGAGGCCGGCCGGCCAGGTAGGTGGCAGGGCACAGCCCTGATGCATCGTTATTCTTGCCCTGGAGGTGCGGCTGCCCCGGGGCTCACACCCCCGAAGCGTGCCCAGCCCGCTGCGCAGCCCACCTGGAAGCCCTCCCATGAGCGGCACGACTCCCAGTCGCGCAGCTGGGCAAAGGTGATGGGCGTGTGGCCGTCCCCCGACAGGTCGATGCCCAGGAAGGAGGAGGAGGTGTACCAGGTGGCAAAGGAGCCCACGGTGGCAAAGCCGACGTAGGAGCCCACCACCTGCGGCACGGGGAGGGGGCAGCCAGGGGGCAGTGAGGCGGCGAGGCGAGGAGGAGCCCTCTGAGGAATCCAACCTGGCCTGCCCTGCCCTGCCCTGCCCTGCATGCATTGGCCCAGCCACCCCCCAGCCCTGGAAGATTCTCCTGACGCCCACAGCAGAACCCGGCACCGCGCACCAGCCAGCGGAAGAGGATCCAGGGCGTGATGAAGTGGTCGTCTGCGCGGCGCGGCGGCTTGGTCATGATGTCGGGGTCGGCGGGGTTGAAGCCCAGGGCGGTGGCGGGGGGGCCGTCGGTCACCAGATTGACCCACAGCAGCTGGGGGCGGGGAAGAGGGGAGCAGGGGTGGGTGGGTGGGCCGTCAGAGAGGGCAGCGCTGCAATGCAAAGATATTGGGCCAGGGAGACGGGCGGCCACAGCAGGGCACTGGCCCCATGCACGCCGAGCGGTGCCCAGCGCACGGCTGGCTGCCCTGCCCACCGCCTCACACCTGCACGGGGATGAGGCCCTCTGGCAGGCCCAGCGCCGCGGCCAGGAAGATGGAGGCCACCTCGCCAATGTTGGAGGAAATCATGTAGCTGCGCGTGGCAGGTGGGGTGTGGTATGCGTGAGGGGTGGTGCAGCGCGGCGGCCCTCGACCGTATACCCCAGCCCAGCCCAGCCCAGCCCCTCCTCCAAACCACCGGCCGGCGACGCTGCTGGGCGGCAGGAAGCCGCATGCTGGCTGGCAGCCAGCGCTCGCATCCAGCCACCCAGGCCCCTACGTAGCCACGCCAGGGCGGCCCCGCAGCAGCCCCCCGCACCGAATGAACGCCTTCATGTTGTTGTAGATGGCGCGCCCCTCCTCCACCGCCGCCACCACGGTGGCAAAGTTGTCGTCTGCCAGCACCATGTCGCTGGCCTCCTTGGCCACCTCGGTGCCCGTGATGCCCATGGCCACGCCAATGTCGGCCAGCTTGAGGGCGGGGGCGTCATTCACGCCGTCACCCGTCATCGCGGTCACCTCGCCCATGTCCTTGAGCAGGCGCACAATGTCCTGCGCACACAAAGGGCAAGGGGGTGGCGGGGATGTGTGTGATGGCGAGGGAGAAGTCAAGTTGGGGTAAGGTGAGGGGCCAGGCAAGGAGGTGAGCGGCCACACGGCCTGGCGGGTGGAGCATTGGGGGCGAGGGCCTGGGCAGGCATGACGCAGTCTACGATTCACTTCTGCATGAAGCGGTCACCTGCTTGTGCCGCGGCTCGGCGCGCGAGAAGCACAGGCCTCCCGGCTGCGACAGCACCTCGCGCTTCTCTGCAGGGCGAGGAGCGGGGGGGTGGGTGCACACACACGGGGCTTGAAGCAAGCGGGCTGTGGCAGTGGCCAGGGCCAGCAGTCAGGGAACCCGCACAAGACCACAGCGCAGGCCCTGCCTCAGCAGACCAGCCAGGGAGCAGGGGCGGTCAGGCCCCAGGTCTGGGGGGTGCGCACCCGTGTCCGGCAGTGCCGCGAATGCCAGCCCCGTCAGGGAGCTGCCCTCCAGCGCCTGCCCCTCCTCAAACACGCCGATGGAGCGGCAGATGGCCTCCGCCGTCAGCTTGTTGTCCCCGGTAATGACCACCACACGGATGCCGGCGGCGTGGCAGTCCTCAATGGCGGGGCGCACCTGTGGGGGGTGGTGCGAGGGGGCAGCGGCAGGAGGGTTGTCGGCGGCAGGCGCAGCAGGATGGCAGCGCCGCCCCGCTCAGGCTCCCACTCTCCCTCCAGCCCTCTCAAAACAGGCGGAAGGCTGGTGGATGGCACGCAGGCCGCGTGCCCCGCTGCACCAGCGCACCCCAGCACCGCCCCCGCGGCCCCGCCTGCCGGCGCACCTCGGGGCGCGGCGGGTCCTGCAGGCCTGCCAGCCCCAGGAACACGAGGTCGCTCTCAATGGCCTCGTACTGCGCCGGGTCGGCCAGCCGCTTGCGCGCCCTGTGCCGCTCGCTGCCGTCAAAGTCGGCCAGGTCAGCCAGGTCGGAGGCCTTGAGGGCAAAGGCCAGCAGGCGCAGCGCGCGCGCCGCCAGCCCATCCAGCAGCCTGCGCAGGCGGCGGCGTGGGGCCGGGGTGGAGGGAGGGTGCCAGCTGGGTCAAGCTGGCGCCAGAGGGGGCGATCACCAGCAAGGTGCTCCAACCTGCATTCTGCAACTCCCATGGCTCTGCAGAGGCATCCCGACACCCAGCGCCCCCACCCCACCTGACCAGCTCCAGGCGCGCCTCCTTGTCCAGTGGCACCACGCTGCCGTCAGCCAGCATGACCTTGGTGCACCGCTGCAGCACACACTCGGCGGCGCCCTTGACAAACAGCACGTTGCCGCCGCCCGCGGCGCCGCCGCCCAGCAGGGAGGTGAGGCGGCCGGAGCGGCGGGGGGTGGCGCCCGCGGCGCCGGCGCCGGGACCCGCAGGCGAGGGGCTGCAGATGACGCTCATCGACTTCCTGCGGCACAGCAGGCACGGCAGGGAGTCGGTGTGTGGATTGGGTGGACTGGGGCAGTGGGGTCCTTGTCGGGTGTGTGCATGAGGCCAGGAGAAGGAGGGGACGGCACGCTGCCAGATGCATCCATCCCTGAGGGGAGCAGCTGCAGGCACGCAGGCGGGCACCACCACAGTGCCCTCCCCGCCAGCCTGGCGCCCCCACCTGTCGCGGTCAAACTCCAGGGTGGCCAGCTTCTCATACTTGGAGGCGTGGAAGGCGCAGGCGCCCGTGGGGCTGGCCTCAGGGTCCGCCTGCCTCGCCCGCACAATCTGGCGCTGCGCCGCCTCGCCCGGCACGCCCAGCTTCTCGGCCAGCACCAGCAGCGCCGCCTCGGTGGGCTGCCCCACGGAGCGGTGGTGCCCCGCCTTGTACTCGATGCGTGCGTCGTTGCACAGCGCGCACGCCTCGGCCAGCGCCTGCGGGGAGGGGCGGGCGGGGCCCGGGGGCGCAGTGGCCCTGGCGTGTGGCAGCGGCGCAACAGCCGAACAGCAGTGGTTTCCCACCAGCTGCCCACCGGTCTCCCTTCCCCGGCTCCAGGCCCAGCCAGGCCCAAGCTAGCACCCAGCCCCAGGTTGCGCCCTGCACACACCTCCAGGTTGCGATCCAAGCCGGCCAGCCCCAGCACCGCGCCGCCATCCGGATCGTAGGTGGACCCCGTGACCTCCCACTGCGCCAGCTGCGTCAGCGAGCGCCCAAAGGCCACCAGCCGCACCGCCGACATCTGGTTGGTGGTCAGCGTGCCGGTCTTGTCCGAGCAGATGACGGTGGTGCAGCCCAGGGTCTCTACCTGCGGGGAAAGGGGGTGGGGGGCAGGCTGAGCCGATGAGAGGGGGCCTGGGAAGCAGCAGATGGCTGGCGACTGAGCAGGCCAGGACATGTGCTGAGTGCTGCAGTGATCTCGGGGCGCCCCATCCCCCAGCCTGCACACCAAAGCCCAGGACAGGCGCAGCGCATGGGCGCCACCTGCCCCGCTCCTCACTCACGCTGGGCAGCTGGCGCACGATGGCGTTGCGCTTGGCCATCTTGCGGGTGCCCAGCGCCAGGCAGGTGGTGATGACGGCGGGGAGGCCCTCGGGGATGGCGGCCACAGCCAGCGCCACAGCCACCTGGCACAGAGCAGCGGCGGCGGCGGCGATTCGGTCGGTGGCGGGCAGCAGGCCGCGGCAGAAGGAGGAGGCGGGTGGCAGGTGGCAGGCAGTAGCTGGCAATTGGCGGGCGGATGACAACAGGGGGGAGCAGTGCCAGCAAGCGGCAGCAGGGGCAGCAGCGACAGGTGGAACCACCAGCGGCAGGGGTGGCAGGCGGGCGCCACCTTGAAGTAGAAGGTGGCCTTGGCCACGGAGAACTCGACAGTCGATGGGTCGGGGATCCAGGAGCCGGGGAAGGGCTTCCAGCTGAGGAAGTGCTTGTAGTTGATCAGCCACACTGCAAGGGGTGGAGGCAAACGCAAGGCCGCAGGGCAATGAAGGCCAGGCACGGCAGCTGAGGGGCCCGAGCATGTGTCGGTGCTGGCGCGGCCTGCTGCCCAGCCCGCGGCGGCCGCCTTGCCTGCGATGCAGATGTAGAGGATGACCTTGGCCAGCATCTCGCCAAACTCATCCAGCTTCTTCTTCAGGGGCGTGTCGCTCTCCTCCTCGCTCGCCTCCTGCGGGGCGTGGTGTGTGCGGTGGTGCAAGTGGGTAGGCACAACAAGGCAGCGACAAATCACCCATTCACGACAATCAATAGGGAAACAAGAGCAGGAGGAGCAAAAGAGCATGTGTCACCCGCCCAACCCCCCCACCTGGATCTGCGCCTGGATCTTGCCAATCTCTGTGTCCATGCCGATGCTGTTCACCACGCCCAGGCACGCGCCAGACGCGATGCCCGTCCCCGCAAACAGCATGCACTCCTTGGCCTGCACACACAGCCAGTAGCAGCAGCAGTAAGCAGCAGCAATAACGCAACCAAGCACTCCTGAATCCCGCATTCCTTTCCCTCCAGCACCCTTCACCAGCCTCCAGCAGGCTCACCACTCGCCCACCCAGCCTGCCACCACACACACACACACACAGCACAGCCCCCACCTGCAGCTCGCACTCCTCCTGCGCCACCGGCCCCGCCGACTTGGCCACCGCCACCGACTCGCCCGTCAGCGCCGCCTGCTCCACGCGCAGCACCGCCGTCTTGAGCTGCACCACCCGGATGTCGGCGGGCACCTTGTCTCCCGTGTGGATCTCCACCACGTCCCCAGGCAGCAGCTCGCGAGCAGGCAGGTCGGAGATCTGGAGCCAGGCAGGGGAGCGGGGGCAGCAGGTGAGGCTCGGGCGCATGGGCCGCAGGCTGGCAGGGGCAGCGCCAGTTAGAGGCAAGCACGCCACCAGGCCCTGGCACGTGCGCCGCCGCCAGCACCAGCAGCCTGGCAGCAGCATTGGCGGCCCCCGCCCATTTCCCTGCCCCTGGCTCACTCACCAGCTGGCCGTCGCGGAAGACCTTGGCGGTGTCTGCCGTCATCTCCTTGAGCGCCTCCAGCGCATTCTCCGCGTTGCTCTCCTGCCACACACCCACTGTGGCGTTCAACACTAGGATCAGAACCTGTAGGGCAGGAGGGGAGGGCGCAGGCAGATGCAGGCTTGACAGGACGAGCGGGGCTGGGCCGCATCCGAGCCAGCAGCAACGTAGCATGTTGCCAGAGCGGCGCTGGGGTGTTACTGCTGGCACCAAGCACGGTGTACTGCGCTGCAAGGGGCGGCTCACAATGACGAGCGGCTCGATGAAGGCGCGCACGCCAGACTCGTCGGGGTTGTCCTCAAACAAAGCCAGGCCAAACGAGACGGCCGCCGCCAGCAGCAGGATCTGCACGGCACAGGCGGGGCAGGCACATGAGCATGGCACCATTCGGCGCCAAGCAGGCAGTGTAGACTGCAAAATGGGTGCTGGACTGGCCAGCGGCTGGCAGCGGCTGCAAGCCTAAGCGGCGAGCGCACCTTGACAAGCGTGTCATCAAACTGCTCAAGAACGAGTTTCCAGAGGGGCGTGCCGGGCGCCTTTTGCAGCTCATTGTAGCCGCACTTGGCGCGCCGCGCCTCCACCTCGCTGCTGCTCAGCCCTGCCGCCAGGTCTGTGCCATGGTGCTTCAGCACTTCGTCCGTCGGCGCCGCCCAAGCCGGCCAGACAGCCATAGTGATGGTGGCCTCTCAACTGCCACGGTGCCCGGGCGATGTGTGCTTCAGCGATGCCACAAACTCGGTCAGCTGGAGTTGTCCACTGACTGCTCTAAGGACTGCCAATCTGCACAAAGACCGACCACAGAGCAGGGAGATGAGGAAACAAAAGCGGCGGTGGCGGGTGGCGGGCGTCACGCAGCAGCAGTCGAGTGTGGTGGGCCTGGGCGTGGTAAGGGGGCCTATCCTGCGGCACTGCAGGCCTATCCTGCGCGGCCTTCGCTGTGGCGGGACAGGCCTGAGTTCAGAGCCGCACAGAAGAGCACTGTGTTCGGCAGTTCGTCGGCGCGGCCCGCTCACCAGCGACTATCCCTGAGTGTGAAGCCTGACGGTCAATGGCAATGGGAAGGGACGGAGCGCCTTTGGAGTGGTGATGGCTCTCAGAGCCAGAGTGCCTGCACCTCTCTTCGCTGCAGCTCGATGCTGGCGTAGATTGGCAGCGGCGAGGTGGCAGCGATGTGGCTTTGAGAAGGGGCTAGCGAAAATCTGGGCGTCAGGGATGTAGTGCTCCAGCACTCGAGTGTACTTGCACCCCGCCGCTCGCTGTGCATGCACTGTGGGATTCATCCCTTGAGGGTTGTGCTGAATCCCCCATGACCAGCCAGCCGTATCCCCTGCCACCACACTCCCAATGCACCGCTGTGCACCACAGCTGACTACAAACCCAAGCCGCCGCCGCGGCAGAGGCCGTGCACAGCAGCACCGCCACCCGCAGCCAACCAAGCTCTGGACCGCCGCACTGCGCAAATAGCTGATGTTTGCGAGATATATACGCTGTATACAGCTTGTGCCATGCAGTATAGGCAGCTTCGGCTCTGTTCGGTGCTTGCAGCCTCCACCCGACTCAGTTGCACCTCGACTGCAACCCGTAGACGTGTCAGTTCGTACCTAGCCAGGAAGCAGCCTCATAAATGACCTCATGCTGTTGATCCCCACTGAATTGGGTATGCTTGAAGCAACAGAGTGCACGGACAGCAGCGTACTCGGTTCGAATGATGCAAGCTCGTGGCCGGGGCGCGGCCAGCAAGCGCGGCACCGGCGGCAGCGGCGTGCAAGGAAGCTGGGGCGGCATACCGCGTGAATTGCTCAACTTGTACCCATTACGTCCTTGCACCCTACGAGCCCATGAAGCAGGCAGCAGCACGGGGGGAGCGGCATGTTGAATGTTGCAAGTGGTTGCAGCCGGCCCCTGGCCAGCCTCCATTGCAGCCTGCATGTGACCACTGCAGAACAGCAGGGCGTCTCAGGGGAAGAACGGACAGGGCGATGTCCCCGCCTGGGTCTCTCGCTGGAAAACGAATGGCAGCCTTGGTGGGGCGAGTGCTGCCTGCCCCGGCCTCTTCCCCTTGGTGGCAGCGGTGTTCAGGAATCAGGTGAGGCACTGTGGGCATTGCCACGCCCCCGCTGGCCCCCCATCACCCGCGTCCTGCCATCAGCGACTCACAGCGGCTCCCTCCCCCCGTGGTGCTGCAGGTCTCGGCCAGCATCTGACAAGCAACCATGTCTGGCGACACGACCTTCCTGTTCACCTCTGGTGAGCAAGGTGTTCGGTGGGGCACCCCTCAATCAGCGTCCAACTTTGCCCGCACAGCACAGCCAGCGCCTCCTGACGCACTAGCAGCGGCTGTGAGGCAATGCGCCGGCGATCGGCGCCTGGCGTGGCCTCAGCCAGGCAGCGCGGTTGCGCCGCCGGCGGGTGGCAGCAGCGGCGGCAGGCGGGGGCGACACGTCCTGCCTGCCACCTTCGGCTGCCTGCTGCTGATGCCTGCGGGATGCTGGCGCTTCCAGCGCATCCTAGATGGGTGTTGGTCTGCCAGCTGTGCCCAGCCGATTCAGCCTCCTGCTCACGTGCCGCTGCCGCCTGTTGCGCTGCCCACCTGCAGAGTCGGTCAATGAGGGCCACCCCGACAAGGTGCTTTGCTGTGCCACTTTTTCTGTACTGTGTGGCTGGATGGGGTCCCCAGCCATGCCAGGCAGCGACCGCAAGCTTCCCAACCCGGTGCCACGCCCCCTGCCTTGCCCAGCCTCTCGTTTGCTGCTCATGTGCCCCTACCTCCCCGCTGCCTCGCGTGTTGGCTGACCTCCGGCCCCCTGCCCTCCTCCCCGCCCCTGCCTGCAGCTGTGCGACCAGGTGTCTGATGCCGTGCTGGACGCCTGCCTGGAGCAGGACCCCGAGTCCAAGGTGGCCTGCGAGACCGCCACCAAGACCAACATGGTGCGAGCGGGGTCGGGAAGACGCAGAGCCGCTGGCCGCCGTCGCCAGCCCCGCTCCCCCGCCGCCGTGCCCTGCTGCGGTTGCCTCGCCCTGTCGCCGCCTGCGCGCATGCCCCGCATGCGCCCCACTGCGGCGACGCGGCGTGCCCTCGCGCAGGTGATGGTGTTTGGCGAGATCACGACCCGCGCTAAGGTGGACTACGAGGCGGTGGTACGCAAGACGTGCCGCGACATTGGCTTCATCTCCGACGACGTCGGCCTGGACGCCGACAAGTGCAAGGTGCTGGTGCACCTGGAGGAGCAGAGCCCCGACATTGGGCAGGGCGTGCACGGCATGGGCACCAAGACGCTCGAGGAGATTGGCGCCGGCGACCAGGTGCGGCAGGGGCGCGTGGATGTGGGGGGCCGGCTGCCAGGCAGCCCTGCTGTGCAGCAATCTGCCAGGCAGCAGTGCACCGCGTGCTGAGGCTACGTTGGTTGGGTCCTGGGTAGCGCCTGCGCCTGGCGCCGCTCCGCGTCGAGGCGCCGCCAGGCTGCGCTGCCCCCGCAGGGCCACATGTTTGGCTACGCCACCGACGAGACCCCCGAGCTCATGCCCCTGACCCACGTGCTGGCCACCCAGCTGGGCTACAAGCTGACCGAGGTGCGCAAGAACGGGGTGTGCCCCTGGCTGCGCCCCGACGGCAAGACCCAGGTGACTGTGGAGTACAAGAAGGACGGCGGCGCGGTGGTGCCCCTGCGCGTCCACACCATCCTCATCTCCACCCAGCACTCCCCAGACGTGTCCAACGACAAGATCAAGGAGGACCTCATGGAGCACGTCATCAAGCCGGTGGTGAGGGGGCAGGCCGCACTGCCGCTTGGATGCTTTTTTTATACATTTTGTGTTCGCTGCTCTGCTGTCTGCGGGCATGACGGTGCCCGCTGCCTGGCCTTTCCCTTGGCCCCAACCCGCGCCCACCCTCCTCTGCCCCTTGTGCCCTGCCAGGTGCCCGCCAAGTACTTGGATGACAAGACCATCTTCCACCTCAACCCCTCTGGCCGCTTTGTGATCGGCGGCCCGCACGGCGACGCCGGCCTGACCGGCCGCAAGATCATCATCGACACCTACGGCGGCTGGGGCGCGCACGGCGGCGGCGCCTTCTCCGGCAAGGTGCTTGGGGTGCTGCCTGGGCTGCTGGATTGCTGATGCTGCTGGCCTGCTGCAGGTGGCAGGGTGGCGAGCGGTGGACAGGCCGGCTTGCCACCACCCTCCGCTCCCAACCTGCCCCCTCCTGCCCCGCCTGCCTGCCCGCAGGACCCCACCAAGGTGGACCGCTCCGGCGCCTACATTGCGCGCCAGGCAGCCAAGTCTGTGGTGGCAGCGGGCCTGGCGCGGCGCTGCCTGGTGCAGGTGTCGTACGCCATTGGCGTGCCCGAGCCACTGTCTGTGTTTGTGGACACCTATGGCACTGGCACCATCTCCGACAGCGAAATCCTGGCCAAGGTGAGTTGCGGGGAGAGGGGGAAGGAGACCAGCTCAGACAAGTCTCCATCAGTCCCATGGGGCTCATGCTACTAGGCCAAACCCTCTTTTGCCCTCCCCGCAGGTCAAGGCCACTTTTGACTTCCGCCCCGGCATGATGGGCAAGGCCCTGGACCTCAAGCGCGGCGGCGACCGGTGAGGGCTGTGTGCCAAAGGGTGGAGCGGGGCAGGGGCAGGAGAGAGCGCCAGCGATGGCCCGCCTCTGCTGCCGCCCACGATCTGGAACCCAGGTTGCGATTTCACAACCTGTTTCCTTGGCTTCCCTGCCTTGCAGTTACATCCACACAGCTGCCTACGGCCACTTTGGCCGCAACGACAAGCCCGAGGTGAGTTTCAATCAATGATGGAGCAGGGCTGAGTGCAGTAAGGTGCCCCCGCAGAGCTTTTCCTCTTACCTTGGTTTGACTTCCATGCTTCTGCAGGTCTTCACCTGGGAGAAGGTGCTGCCCCTCAAGGATGCATGAGGGCTGCTCACCCCGCTGCCCAGCATAGACACTTAGTCGGCAGCGTTACCGGCGGCGCCACCTCAAGCCGGACCACCATTCACCTTTCCGCTGCTCTCACTTCCTGCTCCCATTATTTAGTCTTCACTTGGCACTCCAGTCACTTTTGCTACCTGAAATAGCACAGGCATTGACGCACCAGGGGGTGGGGAACAGCGCCTCTCGTGCTGCCATGCATGTCTCTCCGGAAACGCACGAGCGGCTGCCTAGCCCGCCTCTTTTGCATTGCTGGCAGTCAGTCCGAGCAGCAGATGAGGCCCAGGCAATCTGGCTTGGGTACCCACCAGGAGGCGTTGTCGGCTCGGGCGGGGCGGCAGTGGCACACTTGCCGCCGCAGCCGCTTGCCACAACCTTGCCACTTGCTTTCAATGGTGCATGGTTGCTCGTTCCTTGGTCTCCCTTGTCCATGCTGCCAGCAAGCAGAACAAACTTGCAGGAGCAGGTTGCCGAGGCTGTCAACCGGATTCAAACCACGCTGCCGACGGGCCCGCTGTGTGCCCCGACGGGAGCGACCCCTTGGGAATGCCGGCCCCTCAGCGCCCCCCACTTCACTCCCGCGTTGCTAACAGTGTACCCAAGCCCCTTGACCCAGCGCACAGCAGCCTGCGTTAGCTCGCTGACCCCACGGTGCCCACTCTCGCCGCCACCAACCCCCTGGCTCCCCTGTCGAGCTTGGCCGCGGCAGCAGGTGACCGTGTCGCTGGCAGCAGCCCCACCTAGCTAGCCAGCCGAAAGACCCGCGGGTGAGAGGGGGTCCCTCAGTGCGGCAGCCTTCCAGCGCTTCCAGGACGCCCAGGCCCCCTCCCCACGCCTGGCTCGGCCCCTGGAAGTCTTCTGGGGGGCGCGGGGGGACCGCACCGCGTTGACGGCAAGGTCTTCCGAGTCTATCCAGCGCGCACCCATTTCTGTCTCCTGAGTTGCCCCCTGCAACTGGTGCGACCTGCAGGCGGCTCGGCGCCCGCAATGGAGGGCTGGCAGACGCACCAGGCCCAGGGCGCCACCGCTAGTGCGCGGTGGCTGCAGTTTGCAGAGTGGCTGCGCCAGCAGGCCGGCGGGCCGCCCGAGGAGGCGGTCAGCGAGGCCTCAGCCAGCGACGCCGAGGAGGCCAGCCTGCTGCCTGAGGGCCCGAGCGCAGCCACCCCCTCCTCTAGCACTGGCGCCAGCAGCCAGAATGGCAGCAGCGGCAACCTGGCGGCAGTGGCGCGAGCAGCGGGCAACGGTGCCCCGCGTGTGGCGTCCCCCGCCCCCGTCTCGCCGGGCCAGCTGGCACGCCACGCCACCCTTGCGCCGCGCCTGCCCGACTGCCGTGCCGAGATGCGGCTGACCAGCGACTCCTCCAGCCGCGCGCGGCAGGAGATGACTGTCATGCTGGCGGCGCCGGGCATGCCGCTGCACGAGGCGCCCGTACTCACTTGCAAGCAGGTGCGGGCGTGGCTTGCATTAGCGAAATGCGCGTTGCGCAGGGCCAGGCAGCTGGTGCAAGGGTGCCTGCGGCATCAGCATGTCTGTGGCAGGCCAAGCAGAAGTTTGACCTGCTGTCCCTGCTGTTTTGACAACACCCTTTGTATGTGGCCGCCACTTGTGCTGATGTGGCCGCCGCTCCTGCTGCTGCTCTTCCGCCTGCAGGCCAGCTCTCTGATGGCGGCCATCTGCGAGCCGCTGCTGAGCCTGCCGGTGGGGCGGCTGACACGCAAGCTTGCGGCGCCCACCAAGCTGCAGCCCACAGACGACCGCGGCGTGCTGTCCCTGTGGCTGCTCCCCGACGACAGCCTCTCCCTGGTCTGGCAGTCGGCGCAGCACCTGGCGCCCGCAGCCGTGGACGAGATGGCGACAGCGGCGGTCCCCAGCAGCAGCAGCAGCAGTGGCAGCAGCAGTGGCAGCGACAGCGGCGGCGGCGCCCCGGCGCTGCCCGCGGTGCAGCAGTCGTGCTCGGTGGCGGTGTGGGAGGAGCTGGCGCACTTCCCAGCCATGGCGCACCTGCTGGACGACGCGCCAGGTGCGCCGCCTGCTTGTCTGGCTGCTTCCATCTCGCCCTGCTGCGCAAGGCTGGGGCAGGGCAGGAACAGCAGGCTGGGCCCAGCGTCCTGTGCGCTGCGCCGCTGTGGCACGCCTCCTCTGCTAATCCACGCCTGCCTCCCGCCATGTATGGCGCAGTGGTGACCATCCACATGCTGCGCGGCGACGCCTCGGGCCGCTCGTTCTACATCCGCGTGCGCAGCGACGTGTCGGAGGCCAACCTGGAGGCAGCCACTGCGGCGGTGCCCGACGCCAGCCGCCTGCTTGCACAGCAGCAGCAGCAGCGTGCCGGCATCTCGCCCGCCACGCCCGGCAGCACCAGCGGCGGCAGCGGCGCCAGCCTGGCGGTTCAGGAGCCCGACAGCAGCGGCGCGCCGCGCATGTACTTCTGGCTGACCAACCGCGACCTGGGGCGTGCCGTGTACAGCCTGGGCCGCCTCAAGTCGCTGCTCAAGCGCCCGCCCACGCTGGCCAAGCGCTCGGGCGTGCCCGAGCGCCAGCTGGCGCAGCTGGGGGCCTGGGTGCAGCGCGCCGACTTGGCGGCCGTGGCGCAGCAGCAGCGCGAGGCGCGGCAGGCTGGGGAGCAGGAGGAGCAAGAGGGCAGCCAGGCCGCGTGGAGCGAGCGGCAGGGCGAGAGCGGCGCCTCGCCTGAAGCAGCCGCCGCCCCCACCTCAGCAGCAGCAGCAGCGGAAGCCCGCCACCGTGCCGCAGCAGGCAGCAGGGCTCGCCCCGTGGGCCTGTCCCCGCTCCTGCAGGCCCCCGGCCTGCTGCTGGGACACACCATGGCGGCCGCGGCACAGATGCAGGGGGGCATGGCGGCGGCGCTGCTGCCGCCGCTCCCCGGCTCCAGCCCAGGAGCGGCTGCCTCCAGCGGCGGCGGCGGCGCTGGCGGCGAGGGCGAGGCCGTGGCCTGCGGCTCCTCCACCGTGTCTGCCACCGCTGCGGCCCTGTACCAGGACCAGCGCTTCAACGTGGTCTGCCCCTGCACCATCAGGCGAGGCAGGGAGGGTGGATGGCGGGAGGGAATCCCAGGGGTGTGGGCACACACAGCGCTGCATCGCCGGGGCAGCCTCAACCGGCGCTGAAGACGAGCCCGTACACCATGCCAAGCCTGGCCGCTTCCTGATGCCTGCCCCCGCTCCCACCATCCCCTGCGTGCAGCGTGGTGGTGAGCATGCGGATGCAGGCTGCGGCCAGCGCCGCCGTAGACCCCGCGCTGCTGCCGGCAGAGGCCAGCGCCCGCGCGCGCGCCGTGGCTGAGCGCCAGGCCAAGACCGCGGTGGACCGCAGCGGGCGGCAGCGCATCGAGGAGCGCCTGGCCGAGGTGGTGATCCGAAACGTCCGAGCCCAGCGCAACCGAGCGCGCAAGGAGCGGCAGGTGCAGCGGGACGGGGCGGCTCGCCAGGCGCTGGCCCGCCAGGCGCTGCTGCTGGCGCGCCAGGCGACCGGCCGCACGGCAGAGCCCTCCCCTCCTGCGCAGCAGCAGCAGGAGGGGGCGGCTGCGACCGTGCCCTCCACCGCCTCCGCCCACATGCCCCACAGCAGCCCCTTTGCCTTGGCAGCCGCCAGCAGCGGGGAGTGCGAGCTGGCGGCGCCCGCCAACGACCACACCACGCCCCCATCCTTCGCCACCCCGCTGGCCAGCGGCGGCGGCGGCGGCCGCGCCTTCTCCTCCCCGGCGGCCCTGCCCATCCCATCCCCGGCGCTGCCAGGCAGCCGCGTCACCCTGGGCAACCTGCACTCGCTGCTGAATGCCCCGCGCCTGGACACAGCCAGCAGCCAGAGCAGCGCCACCGACGAGCTGGGCGGCACGGCAGGCAGCGCAGCCGCGGCAGCCGGCGCAGCCATGGCGAATGGCCGTGGCAGCGCAGCCGGTGCCCCTTCAGGCGCGCTCAGCATCGCCGACCTGGCTGAGCTGCTGGGCAAGCACGCAAAACTGGACTAGAATCACCGGCGGCTTGTAGCAACAAGTGGCTCGTTTGTCTCCAAGAGCCACCACCTGCCGCTGAGGCACCGCTGTGCCGGAGCCCCTTTGCACATAGGCACCCCCATGGCTTTTTCTTGCTTCGCTCTATCCCCTTCCTCTCCTCTGCTTGCTCCGTATCACGCTCAAATCTTGGCTGCTCCCCAGTGCTGGAACCGCGTTGGGGAGTACCCCCATTCTTTGTTCTTTCCTTTTTAGCATTATTTCGTTCCTGGCATGGCCCATCGGAATGCACATGCTCCCGAGCCTTCGGCCACATGCCCGCCCCTGGCTCCCGACCCAATTTTTGCACACATCAAGCTGGGAATGCCTCGCCAGCCCTTGAAAATGTATTCACCGTCTCACATTCGACATGTAATGCGCTCAAGTACAATTCTTGCAAAAAGGAGTGCAGCTGGGCAAGGCAAGGGCCATGTCCAGCATGTGAGGGTTGTGTGCTGCTGCGCAGCCATCAGATGTCCACAATCACAAACACCTCTGCATCCTCTGGCGTCTCGTTGATCTGCATCGCGCTGTAGGTGATGGCCTTCACCTCGGTGCCGCACACGTGGCGCTGGCGGTCAAACTTCTCGCCGTGCCTGCGGGGGAGGCAGCGGCAAGGTGGCGGTGAGGCAATGCCCACAACATGGGCTGGATGCTGCCAGGACGCGGCAAGCGCGGCTGCCATCCATCAGGCAGCGCCGCACCCCTCCGCCTTGATTTGCCAGGTTTGGCGGTCAAAGCTGGTGATGCGCAGCTGGCTGGGCACAAAGAACTCTGTTGAGAAGGAGAAGAGCAGCTCGTCCAGGAAGTTGAACAGCAGGGACTGCATGTCGTGGCCCTCTGCCTCGTACCGCCTGTGGTACGGTGGGTGGGTTAAGAGAGTGGTCAGGGTTTGGACATGACAGGTTGGAACCAGAGAACAGGGGCCGTAGCCCACACAGGTGGCACCTTCGCTGACCCAGCCACAAAGCTCCGCCCGGGCCTGGCGCCCGCCTGCCCTGCCACGCCACCTGGTGAGCGCGGGGTCGATGGCGATGCCCTTGAGTGGCGTCATGTAGTTGAACATGCACAGCGCCACGTTTTCAAATGCCTCTGTCAGCGTGGCGCCCCCTGCAGCAGTGTGGATGCCCAGGCAGGCAGGCAGGCAGGCAGGATCGTCTCGGCAGCGGCAGCAGCAACAAGGAGAGATGACGCGGTAAGGAGTGCAGTAACATCAGCTGGTGGCAGCCTGGTGGAATGACCGGCTTGGAGGTTGGAAACGAAACAGTAGGATATGCCCTGTACAGATGCAGACAAGACAAGTCCATTGCCGGCTTGTCCCCCAAACAGGCCCCAAGCAAGCATCGGCGCTGTCTGCAGCCAGGCTCACATGCGTGCAGCTGAACATCTGCGGTGTGGTCCAGGTCTGCAGGACAGGGCAAGGCAGGGGGCGGGTTGCGGTCCGAGGCATGTAGGGCGCATGATCTGCTGCTGTGCAATCTCTGGTGACAGCATGCAGCCATGGCGGTTCACCGTCATGGGAAGGGAGTGCAATAGGCGAGGGTGTCATGCAGTGGTCAGCACACAGCAGAATGGCCAGTAAGCTGCTCACACTCGAACTTGTGGCCCCGCACCGCGGCAGATCGGTATGCCGGCAGGTCGAGCTGCTGCGCTGGTCCAGGGGTGCCATCCTCCTCTGCTGCCTGCTGCTTTCCGTTTTGCTGCTGCTGCTTTTCAGGTGGCTGCTGCTGATTGCAGGGCTGCTGCTGATCATCCCCAGGCTGCTGCTGCTGATCCCCCTGCTGCTGCTGCTGCTGCTGCTGCTGCTCGCTGCAGACTTGCACTGCCGCCTCGGCTCCTGCTGCCGCCTCCGCTGCTATGCCCTGGGCTCCAGCCTGCTGCCCCTCAACCCCCCCTTCCACCAGCTTGGCTCTCTTCGAGGACCGTCCTCTTTGCCTGGGAGCCCGCTGCGGCAGTGCGGTGAAGTCGTCCATGTCCGGCTGCGTGCGGGCAACTGACAGCCTGATGGGAGGCCAGATCGACTGGATCGCAATGCACAACGCATGCATGGGCAGGATCGCCAAAGTCGTCGGGGAGGACCTGTACTGCGCCATGTACTTGAAATGTGGCCCAGGGCGTCCTCGACGCACCAGGCCGCTAGACCCTGTGTAGTGGGTACCACCAGTCACCGGCCACTCCCCGCAGCTCAGGGAGGTCCCGGGCGGCTCTTGGTGCGCAGCCAACCGTTTTCTGGCTGCCAGCCTTCTCCCGCGCTGTTCGCCCGCCCGCAGCCAAGCTGTCCATCACGTGTGAGCCGCTGGGCCCCAGCCCGGGCGGCCAGGCGCTCGACGTCAGCGGCCCGATGGCGCGGGAGGAGCCGGGCTGCGAGGTGGAGCCGGGCTCCGCAGCCAGCAGCAGCGGCGAGGAGTCCACATCCAGTGACCCCCTGTCCGACTACTTTGTCCGTCACAAGGCAAGCCCAGGCTGGTGCAGCGGCCGGCGACGTCCTGGCCTAGGCGCCCCCGCGCCGCCGGCACACGTGACCGTGGGTGGTTTGTTTGTCCTCCTTACCCCGCCCTTTCCCCTGCTTCCATGCTGCAGCTCACAAAACTAGACACCCTGGCAGGCCTGGCAGTGCGGTACAACGTCACGGTGAGCCAGACACACGTTTTGCGGCCCCGCCACTCAGTGGCCGCTTGCTTGCTTCTAGGCCTTCTGCCTGCCTTTCATGTTTCACTTCCATCTCAACTTTTCTGCAGGTCTCTGACATCAAGCGCGCCAACGGCCTCCTAGCAGACACAGCCATGTTTGGGAAAGACACGCTGCTGATACCCACGCGGCCGCTGCCAGTCGGGTGCGCTCATGTCAGCGCCGGTGGCAGGCTGCAGCAGTGCCAAGCGCCATTGCCCAAGCGTGCTTGTCGCCTGCGGGTCGGCCCTGCCATGGGGAGCAGGTGGGAAGGCCAGCGGTACCTGTTTCCTGCCGCCCATGTGCTGCCCCATGCCTGGCGCTGCAGGCCCGAGTACTCGACATGGGCGGGCATGATTGTGACGCACTATGGGCGGCTGGGGCCCAGCGACGACTCTGTGGGCACACCCAGCGACTCGCCCTATGCCCACTTCTCCCGCACGCGGGCCATGCAGCAGCTGCGCGGCTACTACAGCACCGGGCCCAGCAGGTCGCAGTCGCCGCAGTATGGCTCAGGTGCGGGGCGGGGCAGGGAGGAGCGGCGGTGGCAGAAGTCCTGCCAGCAAAGCATCCATGCATGGAGCATGCAGTTTGCCAGAACCACAGTGGACTGTTGTTTCCATGCCAGGCTGGTGCTTGCACAGAATGCGACATGCTAGCGGGGCCAGATTAAACAATTTGGCATTCCAGTCTATGCACTTTTCCATCGCTGCCAGCCAGACCTGACTGTTCCTCTTTTGCATCACACCCTGCCCGCCTGTGTGCAGGCGCCGAGGATGGCGACCGGCACCACCTGTTTGCCGGCAGCGGGTTGCGCGGCAGCGGCAGCGTCAGCGACTGGGGGGCTGCTGGGGGGCAGCCGCAGGTTGTGGAGCTGATGGAGCGGCACAGCGTCAGCGCCTCTGCGCACTACATAGAGGAGCGGCTGCGAAGGCGCGGCCGCGGCGACTCGCAGCAGGACGACGATGCTCCTGCAGGCAGCGGCGGTGCAGCATCCAGCAGCAGCGGCGGCGGGTTTTCCATGTTCAACCGCCAGCCGCTGTTCCCGGCGGCCAGCGCGGCGCAGGCGCAAGCGCAGGCGACTGCGCTGGCCAATGCGGGCGGGCGCCAGCTGCGGCACTGGAAGGACTCGTTGCTGCAGAAGCTGAAGAAGGTTGCCAGCCAGCCGGCACTGGCTGTGCCCGGCGGCGCGGCCACGGGGTTGCAGCAACCAGGCCAGGCGGCGGTAGCATCAGCGGCGCCTCTTCTGGCGGGCGGTGACACCCGGCAAGATCGGGCCCCCATGCGGCAGCGATTGGCGTCCAGCGATTCGCGCAAAGCTGACTGATGTAGCCCCCCAATAGTTGCGCGAAAGTTTTTGAGTGTTGACCTTTCATTTCCCTCTTTGCTCTGCTCTCCTGCCGCTCTTCTGCATCCAATCTTTTGCTTCTGTTTCCCTGCTCCCCATCCTGCCCCCGCCGCTCCCCTACCGTCCTTCCAGCAGCACCACCGCCTGTGTGCTGCACCTTTCTCCCCGGCTTTGTGAACTGTAAATGACTGGGCAGAGAACGACGGATGGAGCACAGCACACCCAGGTGCAGGTGGATGTAGTGTGCGACCATCTGAATGGTTACTGCCCGCGAGAAGCGGGCGAGCACCAGTATGTGCAGGCGCCGGATTGGCGGCAACCATGACGCTCCACTGTCAGAGCAGCCTGTGTGGCTCTAGCTGCTTCCACATGCTCCCCTACAGTGTGTGTGCTTCCTGTCCTTGTCTGCATCCTTCCAACCCACATGCCTAACTGCATGCCCAACACCAGAACGCCCCAAGATCCGTCCTTTCCGTCTGCTAGCATGCACATGACCTTCCAGCAGCTACTAGAGAATGCCGGACGGAGGGGCTTGCCCATGTGGAAGGTTTCCATCCTTGCCACGTTGGGCGGCTCGAGAAGAGTCGAGGCCTTGGGCTGCAACTCCCTCTTCACACCTGCCGCTCCATTCCCTCACACTTGTTTCGCAACTTTAGACATAATTCACACACAACATGGCTAGCACAGCGGCTATGCAGAGCACATTCACCGGCACCCGCCTGGGGAAGGCCCGCCTCAGCGGCGCCCCAGTGAGCGCTCGTGCAGCACCACTGCGGTCTGGAGCGGGGCGCAGGGGGGCTCTGGTGGTGAAGGCTGAGAAGGTGGGTGCATCAGCCATGGCAGCCATCACGCGCTCGCCACAGGCGCTGCAGCCACCCCCACCCAGCCACTGTGCATTTTGGCCATTGGCAGCGACCGCGAGGCCAGCCTGCCGGTCAGGAACGGGGCTCGTGTGGTGGAGCTGACTGGGCAGTGGCGGCGGCGGCCGCACACCACCGCACCTCACTCCACATGCATGCTCTGCCTTCTTGCATGCTGCAGGTGGTGGGCATTGACCTGGGCACCACCAACTCGGCGGTGGCAGCGATGGAGGGCGGCAAGCCCACCATCATCACCAACGCCGAGGGTGGCCGCACCACCCCCTCCGTCGTTGCCTTCACCAAGACTGGCGACCGCCTTGTGGGCCAGGTGTGTGTGGGAGCTGTGCCAGACAGCAGCTGCCTGCCAGCTTTCAAGGCTGCCACGGTCGCGGCAGGGTGCCAGGCCAGCAACCCCTGCGGTGGGGCTTCCCGTCCGTCCCATCCCGTTTGTGCACCTGCCAACGCACGTCCCTCACTCCCCTCCCCTGCTCACGCCGGCGCCGCCCACCGCAGATCGCCAAGCGCCAGGCGGTGGTCAACCCCGAGAACACTTTCTTCTCCGTGAAGCGCTTCATCGGGCGCAAGATGGGGGAGGTGCAGGAGGAGAGCAAGCAGGTGCCGTACCGCGTGCTCGCCGACGGCAACGGCAACGTCAAGATTGCGTCGAGCCACGCCAACAAGGAGTTTGCGCCCGAGGAGATCTCCGCCATCGTGCTGCGCAAGCTGAGCGAGGATGCCGCCAAGTTCCTGAATGACTCCGTCACCAAGGCCGTCATCACGGGTGGGTGGGTGGGCCGCGCTGGCTCAGGCACGCCAGCCAGCCAGCCAGCCAGCCGAGAGGGAGCCGTTGCAGGGCTCGCAGGCCCAGCCTGCACAGCACGTGGCGGGCGAGGCGGCAGGCGCGTGTGTCCACCCCCGCCAACCCCTTTTTCCTGCCCCTCGTCCTGCTCCTGCCCCTGCAGTGCCCGCCTACTTCAACGACTCGCAGCGTCAGGCCACCAAGGACGCCGGCAAGATTGGCGGGCTGGAAGTGCTGCGCATCATCAACGAGCCCACCGCCGCCTCCCTGGCATGTGAGCGCCCCGCAGCCAGCCCCGCTCTTGCACGCTCTTCCTCCCAGCAGATGCGCGGGTTGGGACGGGCGTGGGCTGCCGCTCTCCCGTCCCATCCACCTGCGCGCGTGTCCGAAGCCGGCACCTCACTCTCCGGTGTTGCCTGCCTGCGCCCTGTGCAGACGGTCTGGACAAGAAGAGCAACGAGACGATCCTGGTGTTTGACCTGGGCGGCGGCACCTTTGACGTGTCTGTGCTGGAGGTGGGCGACGGCGTGTTTGAGGTGCTGTCCACCAGCGGCGACACCCACCTGGGCGGCGACGACTTCGACAAGCGCATCGTGGACTGGCTGGCGGAGGACTTCCAGAAGGCAGAGGGGCTGGACCTGCGCAAGGACCGCCAGGCGCTGCAGGTGCGGCCGTGTGGAGCGGAAGGAGGGGGGGCAGCGGGGGCAGGCATGTTGGGGCTGGCCTCTGGGCTGGGGCTGCTGAGTTGGTGGCAGGCTGCCGCAGCAGTGGCCCCCAAGGGCTTTTGGTGTGTGCCTCGGTTTTCAAGCGCGCCCTCCCGCATCTGCCCCCGACCCCGCCGCAGCGCCTGATGGAGGCCGCGGAGAAGGCCAAGATTGAGCTGTCTGCCACCCCCCAGACCGGCATCTCCCTGCCCTTCATCACCGCCACCGCCGACGGCCCCAAGCACATTGATGCCCAGCTGTCGCGCTCCAAGTTTGAGCAGCTGTGCTCCGACCTGCTGGAGCGCTGCCGCGTGCCGGTGGAGCAGGCGCTCAAGGTGGGGCTGCAGGCGGTGGGGCAGGCAGGGTGGGCAGATGGCCTGGTCTGTTGCTGCCCTGGGCCTCCTCCCTGGGCCTCCTCCCGTGATGCTCGTCGCGCCCCTGCCTCCCCTCCTGGTCTCCCCACACCCCACACACCTCTGCCTGCCTCCCTGCAGGACGCCAAGCTCAAGTACGAGGACATTGATGAGGTCATCCTGGTGGGAGGCTCCACCCGCATCCCCGCAGTCATTGTGAGCGCGGGGGCTGGCGGGGCGTGGCTGCGCGCCCGCCACGCGTCCTGCTGCTCTGTGTGCCGTGCCTGCCCAGTGCCCCGGTGTGTTTGGCCTGCTGCTGACCCCCCCGGCCTGCGTGCGTCTTGCCCTGCAGGAGCTGGTGGAGAAGATCAGCCACAAGAAGCCCAACGTGACGGTCAACCCGGATGAGGTGGTGGCGCTGGGCGCGGCGGTGCAGGGCGGCGTGCTGGCGGGCGAGGTGAGCTGCCGGGTCGAGCGCGCGTGCATGCAGCCAGCCGATACCGGCGCCTGCTGCCGGTCCCTCCTGGCCCTCGGTGCCGGCTGCTGCGCATGCCGTGCCCCTGCCGCTCACCGGTGCCCCTCCCCACCCGCCCCCGCGCCCCCGCCTCCTCCCCTTGCAGGTCAGCGACATTGTGCTGCTGGACGTGACGCCGCTGTCGCTGGGCCTGGAGACGCTGGGCGGCGTGGCCACCAAGGTCATCCCGCGCAACACCACGCTGCCCACCTCCAAGAACGAGATCTTCTCCACCGCCGCCGACGGCCAGACGAGCGTGGAGATCAACGTGCTGCAGGGCGAGCGCGAGTTTGCGCGGGACAACAAGTCGCTGGGCACCTTCCGCCTGGACGGCATCCCGCCCGCGCCGCGCGGCGTGCCCCAGGTGGAGGTGCGCTTTGACATCGACGCCAACGGCATCCTCAGCGTCACCGCCACCGACAAGGGCACGGGCAAGAAGCAGGACATCAAGATCACGGGCGCCTCCACGCTGCCCTCGGACGAGGTGGACCGCATGGTCAAGGACGCCGAGAAGAACGCAGAGGGTGGGTGGGGGCGGCGGCCTGCCTGGCTGGCTGCGCTGGCAAGGGAGCCGGGGGGCAGGGAAGGGGCAGGGGTGCCTTGCAACCTCGGGGCCTCGCAGCTGCAGCTGGCCCTAGCTGCGCTCTCCTCACGCCTGCCCGCCTGCCCCTGCCCGCCTGCCCCTGCAGAGGACCGCAAGGCGCGCGAGCTGATTGACACCAAGAACCAGGCGGACAGCCAGGTGTACCAGACGGAGAAGCAGCTCAAGGAGTTTGCGGACAAGGTGCCCGAGGAGGTGAAGGGCAAGGTGGAGGCCAAGCTGGCGGCGCTCAAGGAGGCCATCCCCTCCGACGACGTGCCCAAGGTGGGGCGCGGGGGCAGCTGCTGGGCGGACTCGAGAGTGTGTGTGGGGGCGTGTGATGAATCGGCGCGGCAGGGATGTGGCTGAGTCGGCGCAGGAGGGCCGGCTGTGCATTGCGTGCCATGCCCTGCATCCCCTCTGGCGCTGAGCCCCTCCCCGCTGCCCCTGCACACGGTCTGCAGATCAAGGAGGCCATGGAGGAGCTGCAGAAGGAGGTGATGACGCTGGGCCAGGCCGTGTACGGCCAGCAGCAGGCGGGCGGCGCGGCGCCTGGCGGCGAGGACGCCGGCAGCAGCAGCGGCCCCAAGGGCGACGACGTGATCGACGGTGAGGGAGCCGGGCAGGGCGCAGCTGCTGCAATGCCTGGGGAGCCCGGCGGCGCCACCCACTAGTGTTGACCTCACCCTTTTGCATGCTGCACCCTCACCCTTCCCGCCTGCAGCCGAGTTCACCGACTCCCCCAAGGACAAGTGAGCGCAGCCCTCCCCAAATCAGCAGGGCATGTCGTGCTTGCGGCACCTCATCCAGCCCTCTCCATGCGAGGCGGCGGCAGCGCGGCCCCCAGCTCAGCCTACGGCCAACCAACCATCTCCTGGCCACCTGTGGCTTTTCTACGCCTCCTGCCGCCTGCACCTTTTTGCTGCGCGAATGAGAGAGTGTGTTTGTGCCGCTTCCCTGCGGTTTCCTCCACCTGTCCGTTTGTTTCCTGTTGTGGGCACTCCCCGGCCCGCCTCTCACACTGCTGTTTGTGCTCCAATCAGACTCTTCTCTTGCTATGACCAAATTTCATTAGGCAGATCCCCATTAGGCGTACAGGCCGTTCCTGATCTTGACACACTGTAACACGGCCATCCAACAACAGACGTAGGCGGCACAATCCTGGCAGGGTGTCATTGCCGCTTCTTGCTGGGAACAGCAGCGTCTTCAGCAGGCTCCTGCTGCCGCTGGCGCTTCCTCTTGACTGCACCAGGACTTGGCTGCTCGCCGCGCTGCTGCTTTGCTCGCTGCTGCTTGTTGGTCGTCGCTGCGGGGCGCCTGCTGCCCGGTGCTGCTGCGCCACTCAAACGGGTCGTTGCCTGTTGCTGCTGCTGCTGCTGCTGCTGCTGCTGCTGCTGCTGCTGCTGCTGTATTTCTCGCAAGAAGCGTTGCACCTGGTCGCACACTGCTGCCAGCGCCTGCTGGCTCTTGGCGCCGCCATCCTTGCCGCCAATCTTGAGGCCGTGGTCGCCGCCTTGCACGGTGTGCTGCCGCCAGCTGGCGCTGTGCAGGCGTGCCAGCGCCGCGTCCCACTGCTGCTGCTGGCTAAAGGGGTCATTCGTTCCCCGCACCAGCAGCACAGGCTGATTTACTTGTATCAGCAGCTCATCCCTTAGCTGCTGAGGCTTGCCAGGCGGGTGCAGCGGGTAGGACAGGAGTACCACGGCAGCAACCTGCTGCGGGTCTTGACTGGCCAGCGAGCAAGCCACGCGGCTGCCCATGGAGTGCCCTGCAACGATCCAGCGGTCGATGCCCTCCAGCCCCGGCAAGGAACGGGCCTGCGACAGCACGGCCTGCACCAGGTCCGCACGGTCAGTCGCTTCCATGAAGAGAGAAAAGCTCCAGCTGCTTCCATCCAGGCGCACCTTGGTCACATCGATGCGGTGCTGGAGGTTTCCCCCGCGCGCAGTGAAGCGGAGGCAGGGCAGGCCCGCTGCTGCGCACGCCGCAGCCACGGCGGGCAGGTGGCCGCTGTCCTTCGTCCCGCCTGCGCCGTGAAGCAGGCACACCGCTGTGTTTGCTGCTGCTGCTGCCGGAAGCATCAGGTATGTGTAGGAGACCTGCTTGGTTTTTGTAGAAGCCAGCTGCACCTCGAGGTGCCCGTGGTGCTCCTCCATCGCATGTGGTCTTGAGTGGGACCCACAGTCGTGGAGGCTCCACAGACATCATCTGTGATCAACGATGGACAAATGGAGGAGGAGGAAGGATGTCCTGCGCCAGCTCGGCACCCAGGTTGGAGAGGAAGTGATCTGGCCCTGCTTTAGAGCATCTGAGGCTGCTGGCTAGCATCTGGCAGTCTGGGAGTAGTTGGCGTCCCCATCCGCTTGCGGCAGTGCTGGCGCAGCACGAAAACGAAACGGCGGGGCTAAACCCTCAACCCATCCCGCCCCACCGCTCCACTTTTGAGCCAGGAGGTCTTGGAGCGCCCTGCCAAGGGCAACCTTGAGCTCTACTTCATTTATGCTCGCCAAGATGCGCCATTTAACTTCCTGGAGCGTCTTGCGGCCCGCAGCCAGTGCTGCTGGTGATGCTGGGGCGCAGCGCAGTAGAGGGCAGCGCAACGGGCAGCGTAGGTGAGGAGATACACTTGACCCTCTCTGATCAGCTTGGTGCGTGTTCTGCAGGCGAAATCGAAATGACCGCGGCCTGCCCTGCCTGCAGGCTGGCGCCGGGGCAGAGGAGCAGGCTGGGCGTGGAGCGGGGGGTCAGCAGCTCCAGCTCCGCCGCCGCCGCGCAGCCTGCGGCGGCGCCCGAACCCGACCCGTGTGCCGACCCCGCCAGCACCCAGCATCGCAGCATCAGCGTGCTCAACCGCTACCGCGCCCTGCTGCTGGATAGCACCTATAGACCCGTGGGAGTGGCCAACTGGCAGCGGTGAGGCTGCTGCGTGGGTGGGCTGCGGCGACCGGGCTGGCGCTGGCGCGGCTGGCAGCGGCGGCCTGCCTGCCGCCGGGGGCTAGCTGCAGCCTTGGGGGCCACATGGCCGCGCATGTCATGGTCGCATGCCGCTAGTCTGGCAAGGCTGAGGCCAGAAGCATCCCGCCTGGCATTCTTGCCAACCGCTAACCTCCACGCCCCGCCTGCCTGCCGCTCGCCTTGCAGCGCCATCTGCCTGGACCTGATGGACAAGGCGGATGTGCTGGAGTACTACGAGCAGAGCGTGCGCAGCGTGCAGCTGGAGTACTTCCTGCCCGCCGTGCTGCGGGTGCGGCGCCACCGCGGCACCTCGCGCCACACGCAAGTGGTCACGCTCAACCGCGCCAACGTCATGCTGCGGGACCGCTACTCCTGCCAGTACTGCGGCTCCAGCCGGGAGCTCACCATCGACCACGTGGTGCCACAGGTGGGATCGGGGCAGGGTGGGGGGGCGGCTGGGGTAGCTGCTTGGACCTGGTGCGGCTGCATGTGTTGGTGCCTCACCCCTGTGCCTGGGCGACATTTGGTTGCTTTGTATTCCAAGCTGGCTGCTGAGATGCCCGCCTGTCTGCCCGCCTACCCTGCCGTTCGTCCTGCTGTCCCGCAGAGCAAGGGAGGCGGCAACACATGGTCCAACCTTGTGGCCTGCTGCGCCTCGTGCAACAGCAAGAAGGGCGACAAGTCCCTGGAGCAGCTGCGCTGGAAGCTGCGCCAGCAGCCCAAGGTGGGGCTGGGCCTTGGCGGGTGGAAAGCAGTCGCCTTTGGTGCGGCGTGCTCAGGTGGCAAATTTGGTCGCGTGCTCCTCCCTGCGCAGGAGCCCTCCATGCACGAGATGGAGTTTGTGCTGTCCATGCTGCTGGGCTCCACCAACCAGGACCTCCTGCCGCCAGAGTGGCAGGTGCGGGGCGGGGGACAGGGCTGTAGTCGCAGGCGGTCGCTGGCTGGCGGGCTCTTGGCTCCAAGGTTGAAGCAGCACCTGACTCCTTCCTTCCGTTCTTCTTTGTCGCAGGCCTACATCGTGCCGTTCACCCGTAGCAAGAAGAAAAAGAAGCACGCAAGCTGACCGGCCACTGGCCTGCTCGTTCTCCCTGCACTCTGCTGCAGACGATGCTGGGAAGCTGGACCACCGACTGTTTCAACGCCTCCTTTTGGCCCCCCTTGGCCGCTCCAGCGGGCCGCCTTGTATTTTATTGCATGCCCTTGATGCGCGTTTCCTGTGCCTCAATTCTCTCACTGCAAACTCCCTAGTGCCCTTGCCGCACTGCCCAGAACCATGTTGCTTGCTCGGCGCCATGGCTGTGCCCAACGCGCCGCCGCTGGCCACTGTTCACTTCCTTCTGTATGCGCTTCTCAGCTGGCTGCGCCCAGCAGCTGCCCCTAGCCCCCGTTCCCTGCCCTAACCTCTCTTCTGACGCTCTCCTGATTGCTGGCCACCGGGCAAGCCGCCTGCTGCACGCCATGTACCAGAGCCTCTCTTTGTTGTATGTGTACACCACCATTTTGCGTGCGCCTCCAGCCAGCTTGGCCTCCTCACCTTCTCATTTTGTGCCTGCACCCATCTGCCAGCTCCTCTGCGCCTCAAATCCAGCGCCTGTCAGCCGCGACCAGATTTTGTTGCCGCCAGTCGCCCAGCAATCGGCATGGACCTGCATCTCATGCACCAAACACACCATTTTCGTAACAACCTAGTATCCATCATCGTTTGAAGGGTAGGATAGAGGCGCGGCATCATTGGCGCATGCCAGGTGGCGCCGCACATTATGTGAGCCCCACAAGAAGGACAGACTGCCAGCAGACGTATGGCTCTGAGCTTGCTCTCTTATAGAGGTTTACCAGCTCAATCATACCGTCTCAGTGTGCGTAGGGTTGTCGAGTGAGTCTCGAGCATTCTGCACTGTTTTCGCTGCGCAGCACTGCTCCGCCAGATCAGAGATAGAGCGGAGATCTGAGGAATTGATCAATCCACGGTGAGCGCTCTCCGACACTGAGAGGAGAGGAGGCGGAGCGGGTCCGCCGCCATACCGCATTGAGTGCGACCGGGCAGGGGAGGCATAGTGTCCAGCCTCAGGCCAGGGGCCTTTTCATCACTGCATCGAGCCCCACCTGCCCACCTTGCTGTATTGGATCCCAGTCCTCCCCTGTGCAGCGTGACGCCCCCAAGCCGCCGCCATGCCCCTCGCTACCCGCAAGCTGGGCAGCCAGGGGTGCCAGGCTTCCGCCATCGGGCTGGGCTGCATGTCGCTGGTGCCGGGCGGCGGCTTCTACGACCCAGAGGGTCTCACAGAGGAGGCAGCAGTGTCGGTCATCCACCGGGCGCTGGACCTTGGGATCACGCTGGTGGGTGGGAGCCAGCTGGCCTGCCTGGGATTGATGCATGGGCCCGGGAGGGCTTGAAAAGTTGCTGACCTCTGCCCCGCCACGCCTCCCTGGCTGGCAGTTCAACACTAGTGATCTGTACGGCCCTTTCACCGGTGAAGAGGTGCTGGGTGAGTGAGGGGCAATACAGCACATGCACACCTAACACTGGGCCAACCTGCTGCCGTCCTCGGATCAACCATCCAGCCGCTGAATGCGGCCCGCCGCATGCCGCAGGCAAGGCGCTCAAGGGGCGGCGCCAGGGGGTGGTGGTGGCCACCAAGTGGGGCCCCATGTTCACAGAGGGCGGCCAGCTGGTCATGGACGGCTCCCCGCAGAATGCGCGGCGGTGCGTGGAGGGGTCCCTGCGCCGCCTGCAGCTGGACTGCATAGACCTGTTCACGATGAGGGGGGCGGTGGACCCCAAGGTGCCTCTGGAGGAAACAATGCAGGAGCTCAAGGTGGGGCTGCTGCTGCGCTGGCGGTGTGTGTGTGCCGAGTGTGGATGCGGGGGCTGTGTGTGTGGGGGTGAGTGGGTGTGGGTGTGACTGTGGTGAGGGAGGCGGGCTGAGACGTGGATCCCTGCATGGCAAGAGACATGCACTGTGGCACTGTTGCCTGCTCCGCCGGCCTTGCCCCGACTGATATGGCTGAGAGGGGCTGCCCCTCCTCCTGTTATGTGCAGGCGCTGGTGAGCGAGGGCAAGGTGCGGCACCTGGGGTTGAGCGAGGTGTCTGCGGAAGAGGTGCGCGCCGCCCATGCCATCCACCCCATCAGCGCGGTGGAGCTGGAGTGGAGCCTGTTCACGCGGGATGCTGAGGTGCGGCATGCCTGGCGGTGCAATGCAGGGGGGTGCAATTGGGGAGGCTTGGGGGCAGGTGGTTGGCAGCAGCGGCCCCGGGGCGACCCAGCAGCATGCGTGGAAGCTACCACCCACCTGCCTGACCCGAGGGAGCTTTCTTGCCAGTAGACGCTGAGCACCGTCCTCTTGCCCGCCGAGGCTGCTCTGCCCGGCACCGCAGCGCGACATGGTCCCCACCCTGCGGGAGCTGGGCATCGGTATCATGGCCTACAGCCCGCTGGGGCGAGGCCTGCTAGCCGGCCGCTTCTCCTCGCCAGGCGACCTCGGGGAGAAGGACTTCCGGCGCTGGGGGCAGCCGCGGTTTGCTGGGGAGGCCTTTGAGGCCAACCAGCGCCTGGCGGCCCAGGTGGCGGCGCTGGCTGACAAGAAGGGCTGCACTCCTGCTCAGCTGGCGCTGGCCTGGCTGCTTGCGCAGGGCGAGGACGTCATCCCCATCCCAGGTGGCCCGCTCTGGGGGCAGGGCCTGTCCGCCTGTGCCTGCGTGCAGACATTGAGTTTGGCCTGCCCTGCGCACGCTGTCCTCACCTTGTTGCCTGCCTGCCCGCCTGGCCGCTGCTGTGCAGGAACCAAGAGCGCTGCACGCTTGGAGGAGAATGTGGCTGCGGTGGCGGTCCAGCTGTCGCCGGCTGAGCTGGCCGAGGTGGAGGCGGCGGTGCCAGCGGATGCGGTGGTGGGCAGCCGCTACTAGTGGCCTGGGGTTCAAAACTCGCCATGATTAGATGTTACTTTACGAACAATCGAAGAGGTGCCTCCAAATTTGCTGACAATGAATTAGCCACGTAGGCGGTGCATGAAAACATTCGGGAGGGAAAAGATCTGAAACAGCAAGTGCTGGCTAGATATACAGAGGGATGGGTGAGGCGATGGCGCTCCGCTGGGCGCCACCGACCCTTCACTCCTGCTGGGCGCCCGCCGCCTCCGTCTCTCCCGCCTTGTCCTTGACCCAGCGGGAGCCCATCAGGGGGTCCACGTCCTTGCCCATGATGTGCCCGCTGGGGCCCTTCCAGTCGTTGCTGCCCAGGCTGTATCCCCAGTCGCTCTGCAGGGCGGGCGCAGGAGGTGTGTGTGTGTGTGTGATGCGGCTGGGAACACATCAGGTGCATGGCGGGGGCAGCTGGCAGCATTCCTGTCCCCTGCCACCATGCATGCGCAGCATCCAAGCATCCAAGTGGCACCGCTCACAGCAGCGGGGGCCGCACCTGCGTCTCGATGCGCACGACATCGCTGACAGGGCGCGCCATGCACATCAGGGTGAGCCCGTTGGCCACCTCCTCCTCTGTCAGCACAAACGACAGGTCAGCAATCTGCAGCACAGCGGAGCGGGGAGGCGGCGGTCAGCGACAGCAGGCAGCCCAGCCACCTGCTACACCGCGCGAAGCTGGAGGCAGCCCAGCCACCCGCCAAACCACTCAGCGCAAGAGACAACCCAGCTCGCCCGCCTGGCCGGCCGGCCGCCTGCGCCACGCGGTGCGGGCGCCCTGCTCACGTCGCTTTGGTCCACATCACCCGCCGACACGCGGCCCACGCAGCAGCCGCAGATGCCTCCCTTGCAGGTGAAGGGCAGCTCCAGCCCCGCATCCAGCCCCACGTCAAGGATGTAGCCACCCTGAGGCAGGGAGGGAGGCAGGGAGGGAGGCAGGGGTTGAGGCTGGGCAGGTGGCAAGGGCCAGTGCAGAGCAGCCTGAGCAGCAGGCGGATTGCGCGGCAAGCACGCCAACACAAGAAGCAGCTCGTGGCATGCTGTCCGCATGCTCGCACCAGCCCACGCCGCACCTTCGGGCACTCCACCTCCACCTCGGTGCCATTCACGCCCAGAAACACGACTGTCGCGGTGCCCTCAATCTCATCCATTTTGTCTGTGCGCTCGCTGACCTTGTCGCGGCAGAAGCCGACGTCGGCATGTGCAACCAGGCCCGCGCCGCGCTGCTGCTGCCGCCGCCGCTGCGGGCGGCCGCCTGCTGCTGGCGGGGCGCCGGCGCTGAATGTCGCCGGTCGCGCGCTGATTGCCTGCATGCTAGCTGCAAGAGTGTGCTGTTATGCTGCTGCGGGTGTCTGGGGGGGCGGAAAAGCTCGCCCGCGGGAGACAACACGGGGGCCACGGGTTGGAGGGCGGCAGGGGGTTCCAACAAACTATAGGCAGCTCAGTAAAGCGAGTGAGCACTGCAAGAGCTGAGCAGTCGAGCATGGGTAGGGATAAGCTGAGCCATCCTGCTGTGGAGCGCAGCAGGCAAAAGGTTTGCTGTTCCCACTGCTGCTGTAATTGCAACGACAGGAGAGTCGAAGTCCCTGCAGGCAACACCAGAGCCAGCCTCCAACATGCAGTCTCTCGGTCACGCAGTTCCTCAGTGCTGTCGCAAGCCTTTCCCTACGGCGGGGCGGGCAGCAGCGCCAGTCAGCAGGCGAGATGCGCCTCATAGCCGGCCGCTGCAAGTAGCCCGGGCGCAGTCTGACGAGGAGCGGGCGGCGGCGCTCAAGGCGGCGATGGAGCAGGCGCAGTCAAACCCAGAGGTGCCTGCGTGCAGGGGTGGCTGTGGGCTGGCTGTGCATGATGCAGTGGCCACGGGGTCATTGAGCAAGCTTGGCAAACATTTATCTCAATGCCAACAAGCTCCCCTGTCCTCCTTCTGCCTTCCGCTGCACACCGCACCAAAGTAGTCGGCTGTTCCTCACACCGCCCTGGCTGAGCTTGCACGGTGCAGATGGCTGCCAAGATGAAGCAGATGGAGGAGGTGATGTCCAACCCCGCAATGCAGGCGCAGATGGGATCCATGATGTGAGGCCAGGGGCAGGCTGCGTGTGGAGGGCTCACAGCTCCGAGCCATGTGCCTTGGTGGGCGCTTTGGCCGCCCCTCTCACATACCCCCTCTGTGCCCTTCCGCCCCGCAGGTCTGCCATGAGCAACCCAAACTTCATGCAGAAAATGGCGGAGCTGAGGTCCGGTTGCTGGGCCTCGGCGGCAGGCCCACTGCCATGGCGCCCCTGCCGGGCCCATCGCCCCCCCGCCTCCCGCCGTGCGTGTCGTCGCCCACGCCGCCCTCTTCCTGGCACTCTCCCCGCAGGGAGGACCCCGAGCTGAAGCCGCTGTTTGAAGAGATCAAGGCGGGGGGCATGCCGGCGATGATGAAGGCGATGAACGATCCCACCTTCCTTGCGGTACGGCAGCCTACTGTACCGTGCCGTTTGCCACGCTGCTCGACTCCCAGCCAGACTGTTTGTGTGCCTGAATGATATGATATGAATAAATCTCCTTGTGCACCACCTCCATTGCAGAAAATCGGGGAGAAGATGGGAGACATCGACCCGTCGGTGCTGACGGGCGGCGCCCCCGCTGCCGCGGTGCCTCCCCCGCCGCCAGAGGTCAACAACATCTTGGACGCAGCCAAGTGAGCTGCCGGCGTTTGCAAGCAGAGCTGGGAGTGGGGGAGCGCTGCAGGGCACGGCAGCCCTGCCGCCATGGAACGCTCCTCCCTGGGCTGCGCCCCACCGACCCACCCCTCTGCATCTCCCGCTGCCCGCTGCGCTCCCCCGCCCCAAGCAGGCATGGCGACCTGGAGGCGATTGAGGACTACATGGCCATCGGCAAGGGGGACCTCAAGGACGGCGAGCAGCGCACAGCCCTGCACTATGCCGTGGCGTACGACCGCGCGCCCGCGGTGCAGGCGCTGCTGGACAACGGCGCCGACACGTCGGCGGGCGACAAGGCCGGCAACACGGCGCTGCACTATGCCGCGGGGTGCGCTTGCTAGGAGGGCGGGAGGGGAGTGGCTTGGTGGGTCAGAACATGGAGGCAAGCATGCTTTCGAGTACTGCGTGAACCGGAACCCCCAGCCCGAGCACCCCTTCCTGCCCATCTGGCTCCTGCAGGTATGGGCGAGAGCAGTGTGTGCGCATGCTGCTGGCTGCGGGCACCGACGTGGGGGCCAAGAACGACAAGGGGCAGACGGCGGCGGATGTGGTCAAGGACGAGCCCAGGAACCCGCTCAACCAGGCTGCGGGGCTTCTGGCTGTGCTGGAGGGCACCGCGGAGTTGGCCACCATTCAGTGATGTGCCAACAGACCCGGGCAAAACACTCGCGGAATTGAATTGATGCAAGACCCACCCGCTGCGCTGTGCGGAGCTGTGGCTTCATCCTCGGCGTTTTTGGCAATGCACTGTTTTGGCACGTTTCTCTATTGTTCGTAAAGCATGAGTTGCTCACTTCTGATCTGTAAGAGGGCAGTTGCTGATATTTGGCATGTAGCTTTGAGGTTGCACGAACAGTCGTCTGTGCAGTGGGAGAGCGGCGGCCACGCCTGGCGTTCGTGCTCATCGCTTGCATTTCTAAACGTCACGTCCACCCTGCCCGCAATCTCTTGATTGGCAGCTCACCAGGAATCTGAGGCAAGTCCCTCTGCACCAGGCAGGCTTCAGTTTTTTAGGCGTAGCCGCTCAACTCCGCCGCCCCCAGGTGGAAAGGCCGCCACACACTATCCACATGGGGGCCTGGGCGGGTGCTAGCATGCGTTTCCCACCGCTTCTGCCACCCCTGCTTGTGCCACTCCCGCTGCGTGGTTGGCAGCGACGCGACTTTCAGACAGAGCATGGAGCCCGGCGAGCCCGTGCTGCCTGGCGAGGAGGGCTATGAGGGGGACGATGTGGAGTATGACGAGGAGGGCGAGGAAGTGGAGTATGAGGACGGTGTCGAGGATGGGGAGCTCGCGGAGGGTGTGGAGGAGTACGACAGCCAGGACGATGAAGAGGGAGAGATAGAGGGCGATGAAGGTGCGATGGCGGGGTGCGGGCGTGATTGCGCCACCCCGAGGCTGCATGCAGTGCCCTGCCAACCACCCTGCCCTGCTCCCTGCAGCTGACGACGAGGAGGACCAACCAGGCGGCAGTGGCGGCGGTGGGGCCGACGGGCAGGAGCAGATGCTGTACATTCCCGGCCTCGGCTACATCCCGCTGTCCAACTTTCCCGGCCTGGGCGGCGCAGCGCGCGCCGCCGCCACCCCTGCTGCCCCGCCCAACCCCGAAGGCGAGCGCGACTGGTCTGCCCTGCGGGAGATGCCGGGGGCCACGCAGGAGGGCCTGCTCAATGCGGTAGCGGCGCTCAAGGAGGACGGGCGGCAGGAGCTGACGCTGCTGGTGCTGGGCAAGGGCGGCGTGGGCAAGAGCAGCACCATCAACTCCCTGCTCAACGAGCGGGTGGCCAACGTGACGGCGTTCCAGCAGGACGTGGCCAAGCCGGTTGTGTACAGCCGCCACGCAGCGGGCTTCACGCTGCACTGCATCGACACGCCCTCCATCCTGGAGCAGGACAATGTGTCGGACGCGGTGAGCTGTTGGTGTGTGCATCTGTGGGCAGCGGATGCACATGTGGATGTGTTCATGGAGATGGAGAGGAGAGGGGTGGAGGCTGGCTGGCAGGCGCAAGGCGCCGAGGAGGGGAAGCCAGCCCCGGCACCGCAGCGCCGACCAGATCCAGAGCAGTGGCCGCGCTGCCTGCATCGCTTCCCTGCCCCATGCCACCCCGCTCACCCGCCTGGCTGCTGCCTTGGCCTGCCCTGGCGTGTGCGGTGCAGCGGCTGGAGGCCATTGGCAAGGCGGTGCGTGGGCGGCCGGTGGATGCGCTGCTCTACCTGGACCGCCTCGACTGCTACAAGGTCGACTCGCTGGACCACAAGGTGCGGGCGGCACAGCAGCTGCAGTACAATGGCTGCGGTACAATGCTGCGGTCCTGCGGCTGCAGCACACCTGCTGCAGCGCATGCAGGGCATGGCCCAGACCCTGCGGCGCCTCGCTGCGCTGCCTGCCCCACCAGCCGCATCACCCAGATGCCCCCTGCCCTGCGCAGGCTGTGGAGGGCATCACGCGAGTGCTGGGACCCCGCATCTGGGACAATGCCGTGCTGGGCCTCACCCGCGCCTCCGAGTCCGCCACCCCAGCGGGGCTGGAGTTCCAGCAGCACGTGGAGCAGCGCGCCGAGGCGCTGCGCAGCGCCGTTGCCAAGGCGGGCGGCAGCGTGGAGGAGATGGCGGTGGCGCTGATTGAGAACAGCAGCCGCTGCCCTACCAACGCAGACGGCGAGAAGGTGGTGCCGGGGGAGGTGCCCTGGGTGGTAGACCTGGTGGAGAAGGTGGGGCGCTGCAGGGGCAACTCGGGGGCCTTTGTGAAGTAGCGCCTTGCTTCGCTGCACCTGCCTGCTTGCCGCTGATCTTTTCAATCCTGCTGTCGGGTTGCATGGGCACAGCCATCTACATGCCTCGACGATGCCTTCAGACACACACACACGCTCTGCCTGCTCCAGGTGGCCGAGGTGGCGCTGAACGTGGAACCTTTTGAGTACGACCCTCGTGCCGCTGCCAGGGCCTCCAACCCCAACCGCCGCCGCAAGTGGCTTATCCCACTGGTGCTGGCTGCGCAGGCAAGCAGGCTGCAGGGTGGGGGCTGGGAGGCTTCTGCGGCCGCCTCCCACGGCCTTGCCCTTCGAACCCCTTTCCTGCCGCCATCTGACCTCGTTTTGCGCTTGCCCTCGCCACGCTCTGCAGGTGGCGCTGAAGCTGCTGCTGGATCGCGTGATGGATGAGGATGGCTGCCGTGGGGACTCCAATGGGCCCTTTGATGAGCAGACGGTCAAGGAGCGGAGGGAGGAGCTGAAGCGGGACAAGGTGCGGCACCAGGGGAGCATGGCAGGGGCGGCTGCACTGCCTCAACAGCAGCAGCAAGCAGACAGGGTGGCTAGGCAGCTGCCCGTCCCGCCGGCCTGCCCTGGCCCCCATTCCCTGCACTGATATGCGCATGGGTGGTGGCGGGCTGGCTGCAGGAGGAGCGGCGGCGGAAGAAGGAGCGCAAGCAGCAGCGGGCGGCCATGGCCTCGCAGCCCATCTCCTCATCTCCCTACTACGATGTGCCTCTGTCAGATGAGGATGAGGAGGATGACGACTTCTGAGGCAGGCCTCGGCCTCCGCTTGAGCCCCACACCTCGCCCGCCACAGGCCCCGTGCGCGGGCATTCCCTCCCTCCCTGTGAGCGCCCCTCGGCTATTGACGCATCGCACGGGTTGCCCCAGCCTCCAGCAGCACATTGCTGCCTCTGCCCCTTGCGCTTGTCACTTTGCTACCCCACTCCACTTCCTGCCTTCTCATGCTGCCGCATGCCATCTTGCTCCTCTGTGCTGACCGGCATCCCGCATCTACCCTCTTTGTCTCTATTCTCTCGCCGCTAACGAATGCTGTCAGGCAGAGAGTAACATTCAGCTGAACAAAACCATCACAGAAGCATGACCGAAGCAGAGGAGTAAAAAGGAAGATGGAAAACAGAGGAGGGTTGGTGCAAGCCGTCATTCTCAAAACCCAATGCACACAAGGAAAACCAATGCACACGCTCAGCACAATCAAGTTGCTGGACTCAAAACGGACTCAGCCCACTCGCTAAATAGATATAGCACAACATGCACACAGTGCTTTGTGCGGAATATCATCCAAGGATTTGCAGGTACAAAGAGGGGATGGAAAACAACACAGAAAGAGGGGAAGAACTACAGGAGGTTGGAGGGGTGAAAAAAGGTGGTCGGGGCACCGAGCCGGCAGGCCTGGCGAGGCTTCATCAGCGTCACCGCACCGCACCAGCCAGGCTCAGCTCAGCATGTGGCGCAGCTGCAGGCCCAGCCGCGTGTGGAAGGCCATCACGGCGGCCCCAAAGCGAGCCATGGCCTGCAGGAAAAGCATCAGCGGCAGGTCAGCAACCAGGCGTAGCAGGCGCAGCAGCAGGCGCGAGGGGTGCTGGACAATCAGCACACAGCGGCGGCTTCCTGTGCTGCCACCATGCACGCCCTTGGGCCCCTGCGTACCTCCATCTCTTCCGGGCTGTTCCAGGGCTGCAGTGGCTCGGCCGCCTCGAGCGCCTCCTCCGTCTCTGACGGCGGCGGCGGCTCTGCTGTGGCCAGCACCCCAGCCGCCGCCGCCTTGGCCGCGGCCTCAGCCTGCATGCCCTCCGCCGCCACCGCCACAACCGTGCTTCCGATAGCGGCGGAGCTGCTCCTGCTGCCCCCCGACTCCTCGCCATCCATGCTGCCGCTGCCTGTCACAGCCTCGGCCTGGCGCAGCAGCGGCTTGCCTCCGTTTGTGACCATCACCACTGCAGGCAAAAGGCATGATGCACAGGGTCAATAGAACTGCTGCGAACCGGTCAGCCTCAGGCATGCCCGCCAGATGAAGCAGTTCACACCATTGTTGATGTTGCCGCGCGAGTCTGCCTCGGTGTGCGCCGCCAGGTCAATCACCCACCGCCCATCCACCAGGTACTTGAAGCGGTGGATCCCGGGTGCCAGGCCCTGCGGAAGGCGCAAGGAGAGGGGCCGGGCGCATGCGCTCATCATGGCCATAGTTGGGGCGAGGTAGACGGCACTGGCTGGCAGGCTGGCTGCGACCATAGGCAGAGGATGAGCGTGCAAGCTGCAGCTTGCACCAGGCGGCCTGCTGCTGCTCACCCAGATCTGCAGGCGCCAGCGCTTGCGCTTGACGTCAAACACCATGGGCGCGCGCTTCTCCCACCCGCCCACTGCAGGGCACGCGCGGGGCCAACAGGGGTTGCTCGCGCGCAGAGTCACCGGATGATGGCCTGCCTGCTGTGCAGCAGCCAGCCTCAGCAGCATCTGCCCGCTCCTCGGTGACAGAAGCCGGGGCTCCCCTGCACTGCCACCCACCCACCCCCAGCGGCGCCCTGCCTCGCCCACCACACACCTGCCTCCCCCACAATCTCCACGTGGCCCCCGCCGTACGGCCAGGCCAGCGTGACGCGGCGGTACCACCCATCCGCAATCACCGCCAGCTCCTCCAGCGACTGCCGCAGCGTGCTCTCCAGCGGGCTGGTGCCCACCGCATGCCCCGCCGCCTGCACCGCCTCCCGCCCGCTCACGCCCATGTAGGCATGCAGGTAGAGCGCCAGCGTCTCCGCCGCCAGCTGGCGGTGCTGCGGGTGGAAGGCCAGCACCACCTGCAAGGGCGGGGATGGCGGCCAAAGCGGAAGAGGCCGGGCAGGTGCGTTGCTAAAAGGCACGCGCGCTGAGCAGACATTGGGGTGGGCTGTGGAGCGAGGCGACAGCAGGCAAGCCAAGGCCTCCCAGGCAGCAGCAAGCACGCCGCTGGCCGCAGCCTTGCGTGGCAGCGTGTAGCGGGGCGTGCGGTGCAGCGGGCGGCAGCCGCCACTCACCACCTTGCCCTCAATGTCTGGCAGCTGGCTGAGCGCGCCGCCCCTCCTCAGCTCCATGCGGCGCAGCGCCGCCGCCGCCGCCACCACGGGGCTGGGCAGCGCCTGCGGCCCCGCCCACCGGATGTGCCCGCCCCACCCGTTGTGCCAGTGGCCGGCCGAGGAGGTGGAGGCTGCCACGTACCGCGACACATCCAGCAGCTGCAGCCCGCTCAGCGCCAGCTGGCTGGCCAGCGACTCCATGGCGGCAAAGTCCATGCGCCCCTCCGCGCAGTACAGCCAGGGCAGCACCTGCCATGCCTGCTCCGCGCGGCACGCGCACCCAGCCGCGCCACCGCCCAGGCCGCCCAGCGCGCCGGGCGCGGCGGCGCCGCCCGTGGGGGAGTGGAAGGGGACTGCATTGGAGGCGCTGTGCGACACATCCAGCGGCCCGCCGCCGGCGTCGTCGGCGCCGCCGCCAGCGGCCAGCGCCTCGTCGGGCGGCAGGGGCAGCGCCAGCGCCGGCTCCCGCCGCGACGCGGTCAGCATCTCCAGAAGCTGCTTCAGGCGTGCCCGCCGCACCGCGTCGCGCGGGCTGCCAGGCTCTGGGGACAGCCAGGAGGGCATCAGCCAGCCGGGCACCAGGCTGGGCACGTCTAGGGAGCTCATGAACGAGCGGGGTGGCTGCGGCACGCCGCGCCGCCGTTGTGGAGGTGGTGGCTGCCGCACGCCGCACCGCCGTGGTGGCAGCAGCGCTGGCGCCGCCCAGGGGCGCCGCTGCTGTATACATGTGTGCCACGCCAGAGCCGCCTGCAACAAACAGGTGGATGGGCAGGAGTGAAGGCATCCAGGGAAGGGCATGTTGAGGTGGGCGAACAGCAACACGCCTGGGGGGAACACAAGGGGCGTCAGGCGCCAAGTCGACGCCGCCTGCCATGGGCCTGACCCGCGTCATGGTCGCACCTGCACCGCACAGACGCTATCGGCCATGGTGTCTGCACCACCTCGCCGCGTCCCGCGCTATTGAAGCTGGCTGCTCAGGGCCGCGCCAGGCGGGTTGCCCGTTGGGTGCTGCTACTGGTCTCGCCGCGCCGCCCACAGCTACACCACGGTACAATAGTGTGTCGGAGAGGAGGCACGGTTCCTGCCAAGCCCACTCCCGCGAAACGCCGCGTTGTCCCTGAAAGCTGGACGCCGTTTGTATGGCTGCTGACCCTCAAGCACCCCAGAATCCGGGGAAAAACACGGCCCGGGACGCAACACTTCGCTTTGGGGCAGATGTACACTGGCGGGAAGCGGGACGCGCCCCATGCCGGGGGCACCTCCTCTCTGTTGGCTGCTGCTGGTTCTGGTGGACAGCCCTTTGCTGGTGCTGTTCCCTGTCCCATTGATGACAGGATGGACACTTACAGCCGGCACAGCGAGCCATGCAGAGTACAGCACAGAGGTCTGCTGAGGCGGGCGGGAGCCCGGAAGGGACAGCCGCACAGCTACAGGGAAAGGTATTCGCATCATTCGTTTGAAGGTCTATGGCACAGGCCAGCAGCGGGGGATACAGGAGTTGGAGAAGTCGGGGAGGATGCAAGCCACCCAGCGCAGGCCGGCTACAGAGGACAGCTGATGGGGAGAACGGCGTGGTGGTAATTGGGTTTATGTGTTGTGCAGCGAGTCAACAATCATCCGAAGGGCTGGCGCACAGTCAGAAAAGGAGGGAGAGGTGGCAAGAACAATGGGCAACCAAACAACAGTATGTAAACACAGGGCGGTCTTCTCGGCAGGGATAGATGGATGGATGCTGAAGATAGTCGTCTATACTAGAGAAAAGCTGCTGCGAACAATTCATGCGTCAAACAAGGGATCAATCTTCAAATTGCCAGAGGGGAGAGCAAACGCAGAGAAAAAGAAGGGGAACCGCGGGCAAAGCATGGCGGGATGCAGTGTGGGGTAGTGATACAGGGGGCGGCAGTTCCCAACAACAGCAGCGCGAAAGGAGAGAGTAGAAGCGCGCCAAGGGATGAAAAAATGAGGCCGCCAGGTGGCGCAGCAGCGTAGAAACCTCGTCAGTGTGCCATGCCTAGATGCGGGAGGAGGCCATCAGCGGTGGGGCGCGAAACAGGGTGGCCACCTGCAGCTGCTCCACCCGCTTCTCCAGCAGAGACTCGGCGGTCAGAACACAGTCTGCAAGCACGCAACAGGCCGGGGCAAACAGAATGAGCTTCAGCTGGTAGGTTGAAGACATGCGATGGTAGCAACAGGACAGGCTGGCGAGGGATCCCCCAACCCAACCTCGCGCAGCCCCAATCCCACACCCGACCCACCCAGCCGCCCCACACACCACTCTACCTCCCTGCCCTCCACCCACCGTCTGTGGCCAGCTCCTCAATCACCATCTCGCTGGCCCCCGGCCCCACAGGGATGCCCGAGGAAGACAGGCGGGCGCCCTCGCCGCTGCCCAGCGGCGAGCAGGCGCGGTCGGGCTGCACCCCAATCTGATCAATCTCTGCGGCAGCAGGAGGGCACGGCAGGCAGGCAAATAGGCAGTTACTCGCCAGCAATGCCAGGGTAGAATGGAAAGGCAGGGATCCCAAGCCACTGCAGCTGGCTCATCATGCGGAAGCGGTGAGCATCAGTGCGCCTGGCTCTGCGGGCTGCTCACCGCTGCCCGCGGGGGTCTTGTACTTGGCCACGGTGACAAACACGGCGGAGCCGTCAGCCAGCTCAAACACGCTCTGTATCTTGCCCTTGCCGTAGGTCGACTCTGCAGCGCGCCAGGCAGGGCGAACGGTCAGGGGCTGGGATGTCCAGCAGCTGTGCAGCATTTGTTCAGATGCAGCATGCCATCTCCGCCTTCTCATCACCGCCAGCCGGGCCCCCTCCTCCCTCAGGTGCGCCTCACCTCCCAGCACCTCCGCGCGGTGGTTGTCGTGCAGCGCGCCCGCCAGGATCTCGCTGGCGCTGGCGCTGTTCTTGTTGACCAGCACCACCAGCGGCAGGTCGGTGGCGGCGCTGCTGGCCTCGGTCAGGCCCACGCTCTCCAGCGACTCGCCGTCCTGCACGTTGAACACGGAGGCGGGGCCGTCCAACCACAGGCTGGCAATGTCCAGGGCGGCGTTCACCAGGCCGCCCGGGTTGTTGCGCAGGTCCAGGATGAAGCCCTCCACGCCATCGCGCTGCGGGGAAAGGGGGCAGCGGCAGTGAAAGCGTGGGTGGGGAGGTGGACTGGCCGAGGAACTGCACCATGCGTGCGCGGCGGCACGTCACAACCTCGCCAGCGCCGCAAGCGCCGCCACCACCACACACACTACACATACACTCACGCATGCGCCTCACCTTGAGCTGGCTGATGGCGTGCTGCATGTCGTCTGGCGAGTGCTGGCTGAAGCTGGTGAGGCGCACGTAGCCGTAAGTGTGGTCGTCCATCATCATGGTGGTGGCAAACACGGGGTTCAGCTCCACCTGGGCGCGGCGCAGGCGGAACTGCTTGTACTCGACGGCGGGCCCCTCGGCGGGCAGGCCCGCCACGCCGGGGATCTCCTGCAGGGAGGGGGTGGAGGGCGTGGTGAGGGAGTGCGCGGCGAGGCCAGGGGCAGGAGAGGGAGGGGCTGCCGCGTGCGGAGCGGGGAGGCCGCGCCGCGCCGCGCAGCAGGCGGGCGCTGCTCACCGTGCGGCGGCGTGCCACCTTGATCCACACGCTGGACCCCTCCTGGCCCCGCAGCTTGGCCGCCACGCCGTCTGTGTCCAGGCCGCTGATGCTGGTGCCGTCCACGTTGAGCAGCTGCAGGAGCAGAGGGAGGGCAGGCAGGGCGCAGAGGGCAGCCGCACGGCGGGGCGTGAGCTTCACTGCTACGGAAGTTGCTTCCCCATGCCAGGGGCGGCCTTGCTGTCGGCAAGGGGCAACACGCTGCAGCGAGAGCCGATGCAGCCGCAGCACCGCCAAAGCTGCCGCGCTCACCTCGTCGCCGGGCTGGATGCCGGCCTGGTCGGCGGGCGAGCCCTTGATGGGCGCCAGCACCACCATGCGTCCGCTCTGCGGGTCGCTGGCAATCAGCATGCCCACGCCCTGCAGCGCGCCGTCGTTGCCGATGCGGAAGTCCTGGTACTGCCTGCAGCAGGCGGTGCAGGGGGGCGCAGGTGTGGCTCAGCAGCAGCAGGACGGGCAAGCGCTGGCTGAACACGTGCATGCAGCAACGCCACGGCATGCAAAGCAGCCAGCGGGCGGCAAGAGGCTCACTTCTGGGGCAGCCAGCGGGTGAAGGGGTCTCCCAGCTTGCCCAGCATGGCCGGGATCTGGGTGCGGGCCTCCTCCACGCTGGGCGCCTGCGCCACAGACGTCAGCGCCGCCACCAGCTCCTCGTCCCACTCTGCAAACGTACGGCGGCGCAGGGCGCAGGCGCAGCGGCAGGTCAGGGGCGGGGCTGGGCGGGGGCGGAATGGCGGCGGGGCAAGCCCCGACCATCAGTATCGAAGCTGCGCACCACCACAATCGCCGCGTGCATGGCATGCGCCCCAGCTGGCTTCCCGACCGCGGCCTGGCCTTGCTGACGCAGCAGGCGCTCCAGGGCGTCGCCGCCCCGTCGCAGTGTGCGCACCGGTGCCATTATAGCTCTGGTCCACATAGGTCTCAGTCACGATGCTCCATGCTTCCACCAGCGTCTTCTGGATCTCATACAGCTGCTTCTCCTGCAGCAGGAGCAAGCGGGGCAGGCATGCGGCGCCACACAACTGGCGGTCAACAATGAGGCAACGGCCACGACAGCCGCTGAGTAAGGCAGGCGCAGGGCGGGCGCAGCCCCGGCACACGCCCCCCCAGCGCCCCACCTTGGCCACTGGGAAGCGCAACACGGCTTCTGCATCGGCGGGTGGGGCCGCGGCGCCCAGCACCAGTGTGGCGGCGGCGCCGGCGGCGAACAGGGCCTTGCCCAAGTTGAGGGCTGCCTGCTGCAGGCGCCCCGTGATCGCGTTCAGAGCATCTGCAGGCTGCTGGGGGCCTGCATGAGGGGGCGTAAGGCGAGGCGTTCACACTCACGCGCTGGCAACACATACAACGAGTCAACACCGCCAACCCAAGCTCCCCTGCCCCCAGCATCACTCACTATGTTGGCTGTGGAGCCGGGGAGCCTGCCGTTGGACAGGCAGTCTTGCGCGTTGAGCAGGGCAAGGCGCAAGGCGCTGCCCTGTTATGCCGCCACACTTGCTGCTGAGCGTCAGCATGCTCGGTTTTGAAAGTTGGGTGGATTATTTGAGTGGCGGTGGCTACCGACACATCAAGTGTCTCATGCAATGGCCAGCGAGGCGCCTGCTGGCAACCACCTTTGACATGTGGCGCTGCATTCTGAGGCAATTGACGGCGATCAGTGTGTCCACGAGCATGCATTCCGAGCACAGGGGCGCGGCTTGGGCGGCCTTGCCATGCGACGTGCTCGCGCTGGTGCTACTAAACTCAAACCAGACCGACAGGGTAGCAGCCGCAAGTGTATGTAAGGTGCAGTGACGTGCCGCCTATGCAGTTACGCTGCAGTTTGCAGGTGCCACTCTCGCCGCACTGCCGCTTGCCGCCTCGGCGGGCCGCCCGATTTATAGGGGTGAACTTGCTCATTTGCAGGGGTGGAGAGTTGTGGCGGATCGCCCCGACATGTGGCAACGCATAAAGTTTGCCACCCACCGCGACGGCAGCCGCCGCTCCGAGCTGCGCCGCCTGCTGTCCCTGGCCGCCTGGGCGCAGCGGCACGCCGCGGCCACAGAGAGCCTGGCCATCTCCGCCCGCGTGCCACCCGACTGCCAGCCTGCGGCGCTCAAGGCGGTGTCGCAGGCTGCGCTGGCGGCGGCGGGGGCGCTTCAGGCCCTGAGCCTCACCACCAACAGAGGGTTTTGGTGCGGGGCGTGGCTGCCCAGGCTGCAGCAGCTGCGCTCGCTGCACCTGTGCAGCATGGTGGGCGGGCTGTCGCTGCACGGCGACCTGTCGCTGCTATCGCAGCTCACCAGCCTGTTTCTGGAGGCAAAGCATGCGGTTGCGCTGCAGGAGCACGTGAGGTGAGCTGAGCGGCCACCCATCAGAGCCGGCTCCTGCCTGGGCTGACGGCCGCATGGCATTAGTGCTCCACCTCGCTACTGCAGGGCATGCTGCGCCAGGGCAACAGCAGCTTACAGGCCCTGGTGGTGTGACTGCCGCCACCCGCTGCTGTGCAGGCTGCCTCACAGCATCCAGTCAGTGGAGCTGAGCTGCATCAGGGACACGCTGCCACCGCCGCTGGGCCAGCTGACGCGGCTGCACAGCCTGGCGGTGCGACGGGGCCTTGTCAGCGAGGGCATCCTGCTGACCGAGTATGAGTGCCTGGCACACCTCACAGGTGCGTGTTTGTTGGGGGCAGGGCAGAGGTGTGTGGGGTGGGTATGTGTGCGCGGTAGCAGAGGTGGTAGTGGAGGTGCAGGAGTGGGTAGGGTGGGGACCGCTCAGCAGGTGCTGGGTTGCAGGATGAGCACAGTGCTGGATGCTACCGGGCTGAGCCCTGGGCGGCGCCCCCCTCCCTGCGTGCAGAGCTCACGTCGCTGTCACTAGAGCACCAGGAAGAGGAGGCGTGGCTGCCGCCGCCAGAGCTGCTGCAGCTGACGCGGCTCCGCCACCTGTCCATCTCCGGCAACGACTGCTCGTGCGTGGCTGGCTGGCTTGACTGCGTACAGAAAAATATGCCCTTTCACTGCTAAGAGACAGCTGGGCACCAACTATGAGCCGTGGGCTGCCTCCTTCTGCCAAGGCTTCCGCTCCACCCAGCACCCCGGTTGCGCGCTTGCAGGCGGTGGCCGCTGCATGGCAGCGACGAAGCTTTTTGTCTCATGGTGTCGAGGATGGCGCAGCTGACCAGCCTCGACATCTCGGGCTGCGGCCTGGAGCAGCTCCCCCACGCCATCCTGGCCCCTGACAGTCACGCTGACGACGGCAGCGTGGCAGAGGAGGGGGAGGAGGGTGGGCAGCGGTCTGTGGGCTGCCGCCCGCGCCTGCGCCGGCTGCTGGCACACGGCAACCAGCTGGAGGCGTTTGAGGCAGACGAGGAGGGCCAGGAGGATGCGCTACTCAACTTTCCCAGGTCAGTGTGGAGGTGGCGAGGGGCACTGGCAGATGGGAGGCTGCCCCTGCCTTTGACCGCCCTGCGTGTGCTGTTCTTGCCATGTCCAGGAGTATGCATGCCTGCAAGTGGCCGCCGGCATGTGGGCCCCATTTCCACGTGCAGGAGCGTGCACCAGCTGTCCATTGATTGGCAGCTGCTGGAGCACCTGCGCGCGCAGGCTGCAGCAACAGCAGCAGCACCACGGCAGCCGCCTTCTCTTTGGCTGCCACCCCACTGCCACCAGCTGGCGCTGGTTGGACGTGAGGGCATCGATTCCGGCCCCCTGGCCGCGCTGCCGGCGCTGCTCCCAGAGCTGCGCCATGTTCTGCTGGACCCACATGCGCAGGAAGTGTTGCGACGGCAAGGGCTGGGCACCAGCAGCGCCACCGACCTGCTCCCCTCCCCCGAAGCTGCCCCCGGCACTGTTCCTGCCGGCAATGGTGACTGGCAGCTGGTGGGCGGACGCTGGCGGCCAACCCGCCTGCCTGGCAAGCGCCGGCAGCAGCCAGCGCAGGATGTGCACCGCCTGCTGCGGCAGGCGGGGGTCGAAGTGGTGGAGCTGCGGGAGCCGTCCCAGCTGCCAGCGCTCCTGGACCAGCTGGCAGAACAGCAGGCGACATGAGCAGGGGGCAGGTGCTAACTCTGACGGTCGATTTCAACTCGTAGATGTAAGCTGAAAGCCAATGAGCCAATCAAGAATGGGGAGAATCAAAACTGAAAGGGCACTCGCATGTGCTGGGGCAGCACCCTCAGGGCATGGGTAGGGGATAGAATGAAAGGGCAAGGCATAGCGGGGGCTGCGGGCAGCAGAATGCGGACGCTGCGAGCACAACAAAAACATTGCGGGTGACAGCAGCGCGGTCTCATGGCCCTCACGCCCGCCGCAGCCGCCGCCGCTCCTCAGCCAGATTGCTGGGCGCGCCGCCCGGGTTGCCGCACCCCAGCATCTCCGGCGTCAGCTGGTCCTTGGGCACCGGGTTCTGCATCCAGGCCAGCAGCTGGCGGATGGTGACGTAGTGCACGTCTGGCAGGGTGAGAGTGTAGTCTGCGGCAGAAGGAAAGAGGGGGAGGAGGTAATGGTGGGGCGATGGTGGGCTCCTGTGCGGGGTGGCGGGCCGTCGAGGAGGTGGGCCGTCGGCATGCATCTGGCTGCTTCCCAGGCTGTCTGTAAACCGATGAACCGCTCCCCGCCCTGCCTGCTCACCGATGAACCGCTCCAGCTCCTTGGTGTTGTCCTGCGCCTGGAGCCCTGCACCACCACACAGGCAGGCAGGCAGGCAGGCAGGGACAGGCAGAGAAAGTGAGCACACAGGGAGGGGGCGGTCGCGGGCAGGCGCTGCAAGTGCAGCTGCACAACGCCGTGCTGCGCACAGTAGATGTGGATGAACACGGGGAAGGGGGCGCGGTTGCCGTTGTAGGCTGCATCGAACTGCGACTTGATGATGTCGTAGGTGCTGTGGGTGTCATTCCTGGGGCAGACAGCATGAGAAGAGGGGGCAGGAGAGGGGGCTAGGGTCGAAAAGAGGAGTGGCGGGAGGCAGGCGGCACGGCCGGCGCTGTGTGCGGCCCAGCATCATCAGAGACAGCCATGTGAGCAGCATGTGCTGACGCATGCTGGCTGGCGCGTGTTCAAACACAGAGTTGGCCATGCCGCGCTCACATGCAGTTGCAGTCGTAGTTGAAGCCGGGGTCCATGGCGTAGGGCAGGTCGCACAGGAAGCCGGTGGTGTTTTCGTAGCGCCAGACTGCAGGGGCACCAGAAGGTCAGCAGCCTGGGTGAGACGGGGGCCTCGTCTCGCGCCCAGGCTGCAACGTAGACCTCATCTCGCCTCCAGGCGGCAACGCAGGTAGGGCAGCATGTAGGCGTGCTGGGTGGTGACAGTAACTGCACACACACCTGGCACCTCGTACAGGCCCGGCCACTTCTCGGTACCGGTGCAGTTCTGCTCTGTGCCATCTTGCACCAGATCCGCGCTGCACAGCAGCGGGGCAGGGAGTGGGCAGACAGCCAGGGGCATCAGCACCGGCGGCTGCGGGCGCCGGTGGCCTCCATCCCGTCGTCTGCCCACAGTCAGCCCGCCCCTCACATGGAGCAGTTGAGGGGGATGCCATAGGCCATGTCCCAGGGCCAGATGCGGTTGCCAAAGTCGCGGCTGACCCGAGTACTTCCAGTCCTCAATCACGCTGGAATCGCAGAGGAAGCCGTTGTCGGACAGCACCTCCCGCACCAGCGGGCCGGTGTTGAGGTAGGGCGAGCGGAAGCCCACAATGTCCTCCTGCGCCACGTGCGCAGAGAGAGGCGGAGGCGGCGGCATGTGAAGGACGGTAGTGAGGGAGAGGGAAGGAGGGAAAAAGCGAGGGGGAGGAAGTCACAAGGGGGAGGGGACCAGGGCGCATGCAGGCACACTCAGTGCCGCACGTGTACTTTATCTGAGGCTGAAGCAGGCGCGGCGCAGGAGCTGAGCCACCGCTACCAGATGCCCCCCACGACCACCATGCCTCCCCACCTCGGGCACGCCGCACTCGGCGATCTTGCTCCGTGCCCCCGCGATCTCGTCCTGCAGGTACTCGCGGTCCTTGCCCGGCAGGCTCTCGTGCAGCGTCGTGTGATCGGCCACCTCGAAACCAGCCTCATACATCGCCACCACCTCCTCGCAGCTGGTCCAGCCGTCGGGGTCCAGCAGCGTGAACATCGTGGCTGTGACGGGGCAGCCGTTGGGCGTCTCGCGGCCCTTGGCGATGCCCAGCATCGCCTTGCGTGCCTCCGAATCCACGCCATCGTCATGCTGTAGCAGCAGAGGCAAGCAGGGTGGTACCTCAGCACGTGCTGCCGCTACAATAATGCCGTGCAATGGTTGCCAGCAGCAGCAGCGGCAGCGGCAGCTCACAGTGAAGAGCACAAACATGGGCAGCTGATCCCTTGTCAGGTTGCCAGGCGCGTTGATGGAGGGCGGGACGCCCGCGGCTGCGCAGGGAGCAGGGAGTGAAGCATGCGCATCAGGCGGTGCCTGGCGTTTTGCACCAAGATGCAGGCAAAGGTGACACGCAGGCACACCACAGGGCCGAGGCTCAGGTGCTGCAAAGCACCTTCTTCCACACCAGTGGCGGGGGGCAGCAGGCGGCAGCCGCGGCAAAGTGGAAAGGCCCACCTGCGCAGAGCGCGGCTGCCGCCAGCAGCAGCGCGACTCCCAGGGATCGCATTGCTTTCTAGCTGTGGAGAGGCTGTGCTGCGGCCACCTGCGAGGAAAAATTGGGTGCAACACACACAGTGTTTCTGGCCCTCGTGGCAGCGTTGGCGATGGGCTGGCGATGAGGACCGCTGTCGCATCCAAATTTCGCCAATCAACTGGCGATGGCACAGTGGGGGTTGGCGAAATGCGGGGGAACCACCCTTGCGCCTGGCGCGGCGCAGCGGACGCATGCGGTGCCGCCGTTGCTTTGTCGGCACTTGCCTCCCTTTATGGGGGACTGGGGGCGAAGCCCCCAGAAAGCTGGCGCTTTTTTAACACTATGGAATGAAGTTCCTGAGGAAATTTGGCCATTTTCCCTCAATATATTGGCGATGCCTTCGGCCAATCGCCAGCCAGAGCCGTTTTTTGCCCGATTTCGCCAGCATTTGGCGATTTCGCCAGCTTTCAGAAACACTGAACACACATGTCGAGGAATGCACACGGTAGGCGCCGCAGGTGGTGTACACGACGTGCTGGTGGCCGATCAAAGCTATTCCAGCCAGCAACAAGCCCGCCCACTCACTCCCAGGAGTTGGTGGAGGGCGGCTATAGCGGCATAGATAGCGGCCTACCTCTCTGCTCGGACACCAAGTGGGAGAGCGCCTACTACGAAATGCTGAAGTGATCAGTGGGATTTCCCTCACGCGTCTTCCACCCATGTGGCACCCCGCAAGTTGGAGGGTGCTGCGGTTACCACAATGATCGGGGGGGCTTGCTGCGAGGAAACTGGTGCTTGCTGGCAGACCTCAATGTGGCAAAAGGGCGAGCCTCGCCCGCCGCGTTGCCCCATGTTACCCCTGTGTGCGCTGCGCAGCGGGGGCGGCGCTGCCTGTAATGAACGCTCACTGAACTCACAGACATTAAAAAATCTAAATTGTGACGAACCAGACGGAGGGAACATGTAGAAATGGGTAGTTAGTACAACAGCAATGCGGCGGTGCAACACAGAGGATGGACGAAATGATTTGCCGGCGGCGACAGTAGCGGAGGACAGTGCAGATGACAGTAAACAGAGACATTGAAGAGGGCAGTAAACCGAGGATAGCATAAGCAGCATGAACGTGCAGGGAATTAAATGCAGTGTTGATGGAGGTTGTCATCATCATCATTATCAGGTTCTGGTCGGCCTCAAAAGAGTGAAGCGGGTTCAGTCCGTGATCACCCGCTGGCTGCCTCTGACAGGCGAGCCGCCAGCTCCCCAAGAGCATCGCGGCTGCGCATCGCCGTCGCCTGCGAGCTCTCCACCCAACCACCTGTCCGGAAGGGGCGGTGAGCGGCCTGCACCTCGCTCCTGTCAATCACGGCGCCACTCTGCAGCAAGGCCAGGCGAGGAGCGGTTGCGGGTGAGCCCCAGGCATCACTGAGAGGGCACCTGCACAGCCAGATCCGTGCTGAAGCCCAAAGCGCACTGCCCATGGCATCCCTCACCTCCATTGCCATCTCCACCGCCAATCCAATCGTCAGGCACCGTGCTCCGTGAGTGGACACCAGCGGCAGCGTGCGTGGCGGCGGCAGGTGGTGCGCGCCGTTGACGGGTGGCACCACGCTGCACCTCACGAGTGTTGTGTAACGCTGGCCGGCTGCCGCAGGGCCGTGTGGCTGCTGCTGCTGCTGCTGCTGCCGCCAGCTGGGGCTGCGGCGGGGCGGCGCCAGAGCCGCGAGGCCGTTGGCGGTAGCTCCAGCAGCGCGGTTGGCAGCTGCGGCGGTGCAGGCTGCAGGCACCGGGTCGGCAGGCGTGGTTTCGATCCGAGGAGCCTGCCGAGCGAGGAGGGCGCCCAGCACTGCAGGAGCCAGGCGCCCGGCCTGGGCGCTGAGGGCGGTGGCACCGGGGGTCGCGAGCATCACGTCTGGGGTGGTGAAGGATATGAGTGAGTTGTGTTGTGAAATGATAAATGCAGAAATGGATCGAATCGGGCGTTTTTGTTGCAGTTGAGAGCGTGCCGCGTGGGGGTGGACAGCTGGCGAGGTATCCAGAAGTTGCTGAGAGTGCTCCCAATTAACAATGGCAACTTATTCGCAGGCAAGTGGGGCCGGCGGCGTTGCCTATAGCCTTCTGTGATGAGGCGGCGGCGGCGTGCAGCGGCAGCCTGTGCACTGGCTTGCATCTAGGCCACCCAGATGATTTAATTGACAGGAAGCAACCGTACAAGACAGAAGAGTGGATGGGGGTGGCCGTGCCATGCCCTGGCTGTGCCATGCGCGCGCCGCTGCTTGCCGCCTCAAACCTTGCCGCTGTACCTGCCGCTCCTTTCGTACTCGCCCTTCAGTGCCGACAACGCGGCACGCCAGCTGGCAGCCGCACCAGCACCACCACGCTGGCCGCTGCCGCCCGCCGCAGCGCCGCCCAGCGATGCATAGAGGAACTGGATCTGCGGAGGCAGGCAGCGTTGAGGGAAGGGATGAGAAGCATTGCGGCAGGCCAAGCGGATGTGCCTGGCGCTGGCCTGAAGCACTGCAAGCCCTAGCCGCGACCCAAGCAGTGGGCATCTGGTGCGCACCTCTGTTGCGGAGCAGGCGCCATAGAGCGCAAAGGCGCCTTGCCGCAGCGCCGCCGCCGCATCATCAGGCAGCGGCTCCCCTGCTAGCACATCCTCCTCGGCCACCCCCGCTGCAGCCGCTGGCAAAGTGCAACTGCTGCTATCGGCAGCATCGCCGCTTCCGGCAAGTGCAGCTGCAGGGCTGGAGAATTGCAGGAGGGCGGCGCTCTTGGCGCTGGGCGGCGCAGCAGCCAGGACCAGGTAATCAGCCAGAAGCTGGGGGCAGTACCGGCCAATACCGACCTCCTGAACGGCATGGGCAGCAGCATGAGGGAAGTTCAGCAGCGTGGGTGAGGCTCAGCCAGGGGAAATGTTGAAGTGGTGACGAACGGCAGCGTGCTACTGTGGAACTGCGCAGAGCTCGCTAGGCATCCATGCCAAGCGCCCTGCCCACCTTGAGCCCCGCCAGCTCAGCCATCACCGCCGCGAGCAGCTCGGCGCACTTGACCCGCCAGCCATGCTCCCGCCGCCGTGCCGCCTGCACTGGCGCCGTCCCCACTGCGTGACTCAGCCCCGGCAGCTGCTGCTGCAGCTTGGCCGACAACTCACAGGCGACCAGGAAGCGGAGCAGGGCGCGCACCGCCTGCAGCAGCAGCGGCAGGCAGCGCCGCAGCTCCTGCAAGGCGCCCAGGTGGCACATGGCGGTGGTCAGTGCAAGCAGAGCGGGGCTAGTCACAACGGAGCCGTTCATAAGCCCAACACAACCCAACTCCACATCGCCCGGGCCCAGCCCTCCCGCATGCCCACCTGCTGCCTGTGCCGCAGCATCGCCAGGAGAAGGTGGCAGGAGGAGGAGTACAGGCCTGCGGCGCCGCTGGTGCCCAGCCTGAAGCAGAAGCCTGGCAGCAATGGCGCCGCGGCACCCCGCGATGCCAGCTCCTGCTGCCGCTGCTGGGGGGGCTGCTCTGCGTAAGCCGTCCACACTGCTGTGACGCTGCTGAGCATGCTGCTTGCTGCTGAGGCAGGCAGGTAGAAGAGCTTGGGGCGCGCCGCCAGCGACTCCAGCGCGCGCAGCGCTGTGCACAGCGCCGCCACCTCAGCAGCACGGGGTGATGGTGCTGCTGGTGCTGGCTCTCCCGAGGCATGCATGGGTGGCGTGGCCGGCGCAGCAGCAGGGGCGTTGCCGTCGCTGCTGCCGCCTTCCCCGGCTGCCAGGATGGCGGCGGCCAACTGGGGCAGGCTCGGCACCGGCCGCTGCTCTTGCTGCTGCCACACGGGCAGGCTGCTGCCATAAGCAGCGGCATCGATGAAGCCTGTCAGCAGCGCCACCATGCGCTCGCTGTGCTGCCCCAGCAGCCGCTGCTGCCGGTTGCCGCCGGAGCCGGCCTCCAGAAGCGCCAGCAGGCACTCACACAGCGGCAGAGCCATGCCGCTGTCGGCCGCTGGCAGGTAAGCCTCGACAAAGCGCAGAGGCAGCAGCAGCTGCTGGCTGCTGCTGCCTGCCACCAACTCCCGCAGAGCTTCCAGCAGCAGCGGGCGTACTGTTGTGCTGCTGCCACCAACGTCGGCAATGCTGTGGGCTGCGAGGGCGGCTGCAGCAGCTGCTGGGAAGGCAGCAGCAAAGGGGATGATGTGGCGGGTGGGAGGTATGCCGCCGGGGTCCGCTGCGCCCTCAGGTTGCTGCGCTGCTAGCAGATGCAGCAGCAGCGCCAGCAGGCTGGCATAGTGGCTGTTGCTGGCAGCGGGCCGCATGCGGCCGGCGAGGCAGCAAGCAGCTGCCACATACTCCAGCAGTGCTGGCTCCAACAGCCCTGCTCCTGCTGCAGATAGCCGCTGCTGAGTCAAAAGCCCAGCCGCTGCATGAAGGCTGGCAGCCAGCATGCTGACGCAGCTGCTGCTGGTGCTATCACCGCCGGCCTGGTGCTTCTCGAGCGCTTCTGCTGCTGGGTGGTCGCAGCAGCGCAGCCTGAGCAGCAGGGCAGCACTGCGATAGAGGCTGGCTGCAAGGAGGGCAGGCTGCCAGCTGTCGGTTGAAGCTGCCGCCGCCACTGCTGCTGCTGCCGGCGGCAAGGCGGCAGCGATGGCCGTATCAAGCTGCGCCGCCACGCCTCCAACCAAGGCTGCACCACCGGCATCAAGCTGCAGGTGGCTGCTGCTGCTCGAGGGGCACAAGAGGTCCTCGCCTGCTCTGCTGCCGCTGACGCCATCCTCGCCTCTGCAAGCGGCTGCATAGCAGGTGGCTAGGCATGCCTGCGCCAGCACGCTCGCCGCCCACTGCTGGTGTTGCTGCGGCTCCTGGCTCAACAGCTGCTGGCTCAGCTGCTGCACATTCAGCTGCAAGGCGCTGCTGCTGCCGGCAGCCAGGCGACCCGAGCACACAGCCTGCATCACTCTACCACTGTGCTCGGCCGCCGTCTGGGACTGATGCAGCACCTGTGCAGCGCTGCTGCCGGTGCTTGATGCTGCCATGCTAGCCACACTGCCTGCTGCCACCAGGGCTGCCTGCAGCACCTCTGGCAGCAGCTCAAGCTGGTGGCTCAAGTGGCTGCCGCCCCTGCTGCCCTCCACCAGGGGTGCCAGCAGTGCAAGGCACGCTGTGGAGGCCGACAGCGCGCAGCTAGCCGCCACTCCATGCTCCTGGTCTCCCGCGCTGCCAGCTTGCACCAGCGCCAGGCTGCCCTGCCAGCAGCACAGGACGCTGCTGGTTGCCACGGCCGCCATGCGCGCGGCTGCCTCAGCCGGCAGGTGCCTCAGCGGCAGCTCAGCCAGCAACGTCACCTGCCGCTGCACCGCAAGCAGGCCATCACCGGCTGCGGCTGCTCCAGAGCTGCCATCTTCCACCGCACTCTGCTTCCGCTTCTTGCCCTGGCCACCGGCGCCGACATTGCCGTTGCCAGCTGCCAGGCCGGCAATGCTGCTGCAGCTGTCTTCCACCGCCGCCGCCCAGGCCTTAGCTTTGGGCTCCTTGCCTCCAGCCACCCGCTCCAGCTGCTGCAGCAACGCGGCCAGCTGGCCGCCGCCGCCGCCGCCCTCCAGCGCTGTGCTTTCTTGCCCCGACTTCTTCCTCTTCTTCTGCTTGGAGCCCATCTCCTCCCCTTCCTGCTGGGGCTTGCCTGGGACCACGAAAGCAGTCCTACAAGCAGTAAAGTAAGCCATGGACAGTGAGTCAGTGGTGACTTGCCTGGTGGCAACAGAGGCACAACCATGCAGGGTGCATTGATCTCTGCCCCCAAACTTGCCTGAGCGCGGTGCCCAGCTCCACCGCTACAGCCGCAGGCAGCAGCACCACAAGCCGGCGCTGCTCCAGGAGCTCGCCACCCAGGAGCAGCTGCCGACACAGCTGCTGATGCTGCAGAGTGTTGTGGCCATCGCCGTCGGCGCTAGAAGCGACAAGTGCCGCCGCTTGGCGCAAGCTGGCTTGCAGCAGCGCGAGCAGCGGCGCTTCCGCTGACCACTCCTGCACCAGTGGCAGCACCCTCACTGCAACCTGCATTGCTGCACAGCTGCTGCTGCTGTTGTTGCTGCCGCCTGCTGCATCCTTCGATGCTGCTGCCGCAATGCACGTTGCCAGCTGCTGCAGCTCGCTGACCACCCGCTCGCGCTCCTCCTCCTGCTGCTGTTGCGCTTGGGGCTGTGCCTGCCCGTTTGCCGGCTGGTCTGCCTGCTCTTGCGCGCTTGGCAGCAGCGTCACCGGGCAGGTGTGGGTAAGGTACTGGTGCCGCGTGTGCAGCACCGCGAGCCGCTGCTCAGCTGCCTGCAGCAGAGCTGTGCCCAGGCTGCTACTTGTGTCGGCTGCTTCCAGCATGTCTGCGAGCTGAGGGGCACAGGCAGAGGTGGCGGCGCTGCTGTCACTGCCAGTGGACCTCTGCAGCGGAGCAAAGTACCCTTCGCTGCCACCGATTGAGGTGCCGGTCGGCGAATCTGGATGGCTGCTCGTCTGACGCTGTACATGCTGTCCAGCCAAGGCCACTACCTGCGGCAGTTCGGCATCAGAAGGAAGCTGTCGTTGGCCAGCCAACTGGGCGACTGCTAGCAGCTGAGCACAGCAGGGGAGTGGGCAGCTGCAAGCGAAGCCATCAAACGCAGGCGGCAGCGGACCTCTGGGTGGAGTGCGGCGCAGTGGGCATGTACCGCCAGGGCTCTGCGGTACAGCTGTAGCAGCGCGGGCAGCAGCTCCCCTTGGGTCTTCTCCTTGCCCTTGCTGCTCCCGCTACCACCAGAGGCCTGAAGCAAGGGCAGCAGCGGCCGGGCCAGCGCTGCGACGAGCACCTGCGCCGCCGTCGCTGCCGCCCCCGCTGTGGTCAGGTCGATGTGCAGGCTGTCGAGGCAGCAGCAGCACAGGTCTGCCGCCGCCACGTGCCCGGCTTGGGCGCCGCCGCTGCCAGCCAGCTGCTGTACCGCCTCTGCTGCCAGCTGTACCAGCCGAGGGACCTGCCCTGAGGGCACCCCCTGCACAGCTGCCGCCAGGGCTGCCCGGAAGCGGCCGCTGTGCAGGACTGCCGTGGCCGGCCCGCGGGGCGCCACGCCTCCGGGCTGCTGCTGGAGCGCCGCCATCAGCGACCTCAGCAGCACTCCCAGCTGGCGGAGCTCAGCAAAAGCGGACACCAGGCTGCAGGCCACATCCACGGCCACGTGCGCCTGGCTGCCACAGCCGCCATAGGGCCTGCTGCCGGTCGGTGCCGTGTCGGGGGACCACAGCAGCAGGGGCCACAGCAGCGGCAGCTGCTGCTGAATCACGCGGTGCTCTACAGCCAGGATGCCCCGCAGCACACCCAGCGTGGCTGGCACTACCTCTGCCCCCCTGTCATGCTGCTGCTGCTGCTGCTGCTGCGCCAGCAGCAGCGCAGTGTCGGCCAGCTGCTGCAGCAGCAGGCGCTGGTGGGCAGCAGGGTCCTGGGTAGGGCGGTACAGCTGGTGCTGCCGCAGGCATGCCGCCAGCAGGGCCACGCCGCTGCAGGCGCCGGGGATGCATGGGGGAGGAGCAGGTCGGCAAGCTGCCATACGCATGGGGGTGGTGAGGGAGGATCCAGCAGCCATGTCCAAGTGGCGCTGTCACTGGACTGATGATGCGTGCCCACCCAGGCATGTGGGTCATAAACATCCTCACCTGACAGCATCTGCCAGCTGGGACGAGGCCGCCGCCTGCTCCTCCGCCAACTGCTGCACATGCGGCATCAGCGTGCGCAGCAGCGCCAGCCAGAAATGGAAGTCGCCCGACACGCTGATGCCGCCGCCCACAGATGCCGCTGCCAGCGGGCGAGAGGTCGAGATGGTGCTGGCCCCAATGCCGCCCTCCTGACCTCCCGCCTCTTCGGTGTGCTGCTGCTGCGGCTGATTGCGGTGCCCTGCTTGGCTGGTGATTGCCGCCTCTGCAGACAAAGAGAAGGAGAGTGGCCACGACAAAGTATTGACAGCTGGCATGGGCGGGGGGCAGAGCGCCAGAATGTTGGGAGCACCACGGCTGGCGGGCGGCGGCATGGCATGGCCAGAAGGCAGCAGCAGGGCGGCGGCTTGCCTGTCTCTGCAGCTCTGCGGTGCTGGCGCAGAGCTGCGCAGAACTGGCCCGCCATCCAGGGCAGCAGTGGGAGCGGCAGCTGCGCGGCCGCCACCTGCGCACGCATCGTCACAAACAGCTGCACCGCATAGCTGCCTCCCTGCCGCTGCTGCTGGTGGCTGAGAGCCGCCTCCCCGCTATCAGGCTGCCCAGCATCCTTTCCCGTCGCAGATGCCTCTGCCACCGCAGCTGCCATCTCGGCGGCGGCTGCCTCGGCCAGCGCCGCGACATGCTGGTGGTGGAACAGCAGCATGCCCAGCAGCTGCCGGCAGCAAGCTGGCAGCTCTCCACTGCCAGTGCTGCTGCTGGTGAGCGCGGGGAAGGCGGCCTGGGCCAGCAGCGGCAACAGGCGGGGCACTGCTGCATCCCACACCTTGCGCTGGTTGGGGTGCCCCGCAGCGGCCGCCAGCAGCAGGCGCACCGCCGCCACTGCCACCGGCTCCCAAGCCTGCTGCTGACCTTCCCCCGCCGCTGCCGCTGCGTGCCCAGTCAGCGCGGCCTCAACTGCGGCAGCGGCGTGCTCGATACTGGGGCGGAAGCCGCCCGCAAACTTGCCATGAAGCAGCCCGAGCAGCGCCGCCAGCTGGGCAAGCAGCTGGGTGCCTTGCTGCCCGCTTTGCGCGCCCTCCTGCAGCCCCTGCATCGCCGTGGTGGCTGCCGGCAGCAGCGCGGCGGGCAGCGGCTGGCTGGCTGCCGTGCTGCTGCTGCCCAGCACCGCCGTCAGCACCGCCCAGCAGCGCGGCCGCAGCTCAGCCGCCGCGTGGGACCCATCCGCCTGCTGCGCCTGCTGCTGCTTGCGCTTCTTGGCTGGTTTGCCGCCGCCGTCCCCGGATGCAGGTGGTGCACCCGCCTTTTTGGTCAGGGCCGCGCAGCTCCAGTCCAGCAGCGAGCGAAGGTAGTGGGCACGCACCAGCGGTGGCAGCGCCGCCACATCCGCTTCTGTCGCCGCCGTGGCTTCTGCTTGCGAGCCATCCAGCAGCGTCGTTACCAGCTCTTCTGCTGCCTCCACCTTGCTGCATCCACAGGGACAGAGGTGGCACGGTAGGATGAGCAGCAGGGCCGCGTGGCAACGGGCGGGCGGCGGCAGCATGCATGTGCGCCGGGTGGGCGGCGGTGGCCCTCACCGCTGCAGGCTCGCATCGCTGCTGTAGAGCAGCCGGAAGGTGGCGGCCAGGGCCATTGGGAGAGGCTCCCGACTATGTCTAATGGCCATGCACGTGCAGCGACCAGCCTCCCCTAGCCCAGTGTGCACTGTTTGTGAAGATGAGATCAATGGCTGATAGAAGCGCCTGTATGTTTGGAATTCATGCTGCTGCCAGATCAGACTCATTGCAGAGGAGCCACCAGCGAGCTTGGTTGCCATTGTTCACTGCAGTCTTGTATCTACATATGCAAGTTACGTGTGCACCTGTGGTGCTGCCTGTTGACTCCGCCCTACTTGTGAGAGGTGTCGGAACACATCGCTCACCCGCCAGGCTGAACACCTCGCAGACCCCTCCTTCCGCTGTCCCTGCGAATTGGGTGCCTGCGCCCAGGCACTGCCCAGCTCGCCGCCGCCCGCGGCAGCGCCGCCAACGCCGGATTGCTATCTCTGTTGTCTGTCCTCTCCTTCTGTTCCACATCGGTCGCATTGCCCTCTCAACACCATGGACCCACACTCGTACTACCTGGAGCGGCTGCAGAAGGCGTCCGCTCTGCCGGCCGAGGAGCGCGGCGCCGACGTGGCCGGCTTCCTGCGGCACCAGCGCCTGCTGGACGAGAGCTGCCGCTTCTGGGTTGAGGACTTCTCCATTGACATCACCCCGGCCATGCTCAGCACGCCCTCATTCGGGCTGGACGATGCCCTGAACGAGGAGGCGGCGCCCGCCCTGGCCCTGCTCATCGAGGCGGCAGTGGCCTGCCCGCTGGACTCCTACTCTCTGTTCAAGAAGGAGCTGCTCATCCCGCCCACGCTGTCCATAGCCTGCTCGCCGTATGTCATTTTATACGACGAAGACGGGGGCGGCATGACGGCACAGGCGTTTGACGCAGCACTGAGACCGGATGTGCGTCATGGCCTGCGCGGGTGCCTGCCTGAACTTGGGCAGGTGCCTTGCTGGGCAGTGTCGCGTGCCGAGCAGCCCACACTGGGGTGCCGTCTGCATCCGCCAAACTGCGCTGCCCCATCGTGCTGCCTGCCCTGACTCTCCATACCCTGCAGCTGTACAGCGTGCTCAAGGCTACAGTGGCTGCCATCCTGCTGCGCAGCGCGGCCATCAAGGAGCAGGGCCAGATGCTGGCAATGATGCCCTACGTGCACCAGCTGGCCACCGGGCTTGTGGAGCTCCTGGAGCAGCCTGCAGCGGCCCGCCAGCTGCGAGCCAGCCTGCAGCGGTTGCGCATGCCTGGCGCCATCGGGGAGGAGCAGGCGGCGCTGCCGTACGAGCATCTGCTGTTTGCCTGTTACCTGCTTCGCTGGCAGGCCACCCTGGCGCTGCTGTTCACCCCGGAGCTGCCGACACCAGACGGCGGCAGGGAGGCGGCCATGCGCACCAACCTGCAGGCGGGGCAGCGCATGGCGCAGTTGCTGCCAGACAGCCCCATGGGGCACTACATCACAAGTAAGGCGGGAGGTGCGGCGCCCTCCCAGATGCTGCTGCCGCTTGTGCAGATGCTGCTCAGCATCATGAGGGTGCAGGCATGGTAGTGCAAGTGCCGCCGCACTTGGCCTGGCCCCCGCTGCTGCAGGCTCCGCCCAGTCGGGGCTTGGCAACGCGAGGGAGGCGTGGCGCGAGCTCCAGCTCTGCAAGGAGGTAGGCGGCCTGGCGATGGCCCAGGAAGGCCCAGGGGGCTGACAGCACACTGCTGCGGCGAGCGCCGGTGGCGTCGCGCCCCGGCCCATTGTGCCACCTGCTGGGCCCGCGTGCAGGTGGCGCAGGCGCGGGGCGACACGCTGATGCAAGGCATCGCCACCGTGAAGAGCATCGCTGCCATGAGGCAGGGCGGCTGCGGCAACTCCAGCTTCACCCTGCAGCAGATTTCAGACATGTACAAGGAGGCGCGGGTGGGTGGGAGGGCGCCGATCACCAGGCACACCAGCGCTGGCCCCGCTGGGGCTCGTTCACGGCCAGCGGTCACGTGCCTGCTCGCAAGTGCTGCTGCGCTGGCCTGGTGCCGGGCCTGGCTGACTCCCCGCAGGCCTTTGAGCGGCGCTTCAAGAAGTGGTGCCCCACCACCCTCATGGCGCTGTATTACACCACCGCCCGCGGCATCCAGGAGGTGCTGGCCAAGGCGCGGCAGGGCGGCATGTCTCTGCAGGTGCGTGGTCCCGCACTTGCTCGAGCTGGGAAATGCCGCAGCCAGGGCAGCATCCAGTGCCCACACGCTTCTTCACACCGCGCTCTGCCTGGCAGGAGGAATTTGAGACCGAGGTGGGCGGGCTGCTGCAGCGGAGCAGTGCGCAGCAAGACCAGCACTATCGGGAGTTGGTCAGCCAGTCCTGCTGCACCTTCTGCCGCAAGGTCAGTGTGGGACTCAAGCAGTGCAGCGCTTGCAAGACGGCACAGTACTGTAGCCGCGAGTGCCAGGTGCGGCACTGGCGGGCGGGGCACCGCCAAGAGTGCGGCGCCAGCGCACGCTGATTATTGGTACTGCCGTCTTCGTTCGTGATTTCGTTCTTCTGCGGCTCTCCCGCACACCGTTGGCTCTTTGTATTCTGTAAAACACGCAACCAGGGGGCATCGTGGTTCTGCAGCGTGTTCGCCAGTTTCTCGCATGGACAAACTGGAGTAGGCAGTGTTGCCACGCCGCTGGCAAGGCCCAGGCAGCACCTGGGATAAGGCAGAGAGCAGCCAGGGCCTGAAGGCAAGGTGAGCCTTGGACCAGTCGGGGCACTGCTACAACCCTTCACGCTGGGACTCGAATCGCCCCTCATCAGGCAGCGACTGGCAGTGCCAGCGTCAATGCAGCATCGGGAGCTGAGCAGGCACTCACCAGGCCGCCGCCCGACGGCACCCCCCAGCGGCCTCTGTGATGCCGTGAGCTGCACTGTTGTTGTGGAGCGCACCTGATGTCTGCGAATCCCACACTGGTCATGTGCCCCTGCCTCTCCATGCTGCGCAATGCAGCACCATGAGCGTGCGTGTGCGTGACCTCAACGGTGCGTGGCAGGAAGGCGGGGAGGGCATGCAGCTGTTGGGCGATGGCTACTCATCATTCAGCGACGACGAGGAGGAGCAGGCGGCACAGCACAACGCAGCCGTGGAGGTGCGCTAGATTTCGAGATGCATGTTGGTCAGAGGCCGATGCTCCTGCCTTCTGACTTCTAAGGGGTGGTTGCGTGCAGGAGGAGCACGGACACGAGGATGCGGCGGATCGCGGGGCAACCCGCAAGTACAAGGTGCAGCCTACCATCCATCCAGCACCTGCATTGGCTTCTCCATTGTGACCAGTCTGGCCATACCTCTTGACCAAACTGGCGAAACCCCGCATACAGCGTCTTATTGCTTGTTCACCCCTGTACACATATGGCTGCAGTCCAAGACGTTTGTGGCCACCGATCGAGCCTGGCTGAAGGAGCTGACGGCTGACAACATGTTACGTCAGAAGGACAAGTCTCCACGTGTCATCCTATCACGTAAGCAACAGGTTGCATGGAGATGGAGCCAAGAGGCGCAGAATAATCTTCCCTAACGCAGGTGTGCCTGCAAATCTTGCAACGCAGCGGTGGTGTACAGCTTCTGGATCGACAGCCTGCCCAGGCTGATAAACCACACAGCCGAAGTCGACCCGATTCCGCTCAAGCTGCTGCTGACGGGAGGCTCGCACATCCTGGTGCCGCTTACAGATTTACAGGATGGTCTCCACCTCCAGGCCAGTCAAACCAGCCTTGGCATTGCACGCATGTGCATACTCTGCGCCTCCATCACCATGCGGCCCTGCTTGCGGTGCTGCCTGCAGAGCACTGCCATCCAGTCAGTGCTAGTGACACTGGGAGCTGCAGTTGGCGATCGCCTGCTTCTGGAGCTGCAGGAGGAGCAGTGCAGCAGCTGCGAACTGGTGGCAAGGGTCCGCATCATCAAAGCGTGAGCTGTGGCAGTGCCAATGGCTGTGCAGCAGGTGGAAAGTAAAGCACGTAAAACTTTCTCTCCATCCATCCAGTGGACGCCAAGACACTGTGAAGGCGCCTTTGACCTCCACCTAAAGTGTGACACCTTAACTGTCACCTTTGCCATTTGAAAATGCTTGCAGCACACGTGGCGAGCATGTGCCCAGCGTGTACGAGCTCCCGGGCAAGCACATCTCCATGCGCCTCCGCAAGAACCGCCCAACGAGCCCTGCTGATTCCGAGTCAGAGAGCGAGGCAGGGCAGACTGACGAGGAGTTGCTGCCCAGGTGAAGTGAACTGCTGGAGTGTGACTTCGCTGGGGCAAGGCAGGAATGGCACGGCCTGGTGCCTGATGGCAGCACACCGAGGCTTGCTTTTTGTGTTTACAGGGAACTTGAGCATGCTGCCCAGCCTGCGATTCTTGCAGCCCTGTAGATGGGACATCCACGGCCAGGCGGCTGCGCATTTTGCCGCGGGGCTCGGGGCAGCTGCCACCAACGCAGCAGGTGCGGCACCCTGTGGACCCTGCCATGGGCCTGGACGTTTTGCTACACGACGATTCAGACCTGGAAGACATGCCGCAGGTGTGGAGGCTGAACTGCGCCAGGGCTGCCGGCACACGTCTGGGAGTCTTGGGCTGGCTAACTTGCTCCTGCTGATGGCTGTTGCAGGAGCGTGGCGGGGGAAACTGGCAGCCAGATGTTGCTGCCACTGGTGCCAGCATGCCGCGCTACCAGGCGACCCCCAGCATCCTGGCTGCACTGCGCACCCCGCTGGCAGCTCATTCGAAGCTTCGGGGCGTGTGCAAGCCTTGCCTAAAGATCCACAACCACCACTACTCAGTAAGGGTGAGCAAGCTGGCCGACGCCAAGTCCACGCGGCTTGCCTCGCCCACCTGCAGCCAGTCCGGGCAGGGCGTGCTTGGGTCACGGTCCCTCTCCCCAGCAGCAGCACATGCGATTCATGCCTAGCAGCGTCCCTCCTGGCTGCTCGCTGTCCTGCGCTGCTGCAACTGACCAGTCTCTGGTAGCCATCTGGCATCTGCACTGCGTCGGCAGCCAGGCCCGTAACATCTGCCCCTCGTGCTTGTATCCAGCATCCATGCCTGTTGCTCCAAATGGAATCAACTGCGCCAAGAGCGCCTGCTAGCAATGATGGGCCCGCACAGAGTTAGCTGCACCCACCCTTGCATCCTGTTCATGGCAGTCCTGCTCACTGCTTCGTCTTCCTCTGTAACATGCAGGTGGACTTTCGCCAGGGCCAGGGCCAGAAGTCCACCGCATTCATGGGGCGGCTGAATCAGCAGACCGCTGCTGTGGCTGCAGATGTGGCGCAGGCCTGGAAGCATATGCATTGCAGGAAAGCCTCTCCGCAAGGTGCGGCGCAGTCGGGGCCCCTGCACATCTCGCCTGGCAAGCTCAACATTCTCTCAGCTAACTACGGCGCAGACACTCAGCTGCTGGGCATCCTGCGGTGAGCAGTGCGGCCCTGGGCTCGTGCCACATAAGCCACAGTGTCAGTGATCAAACTGCAACTCAAGTGTGTGTATGCAAATATCCTCTGCCCTGCCGTGTGGTTGCAGGGGACTGAAATCTGGAAGAGAGCTGATACAATTTCTGAAGGCCGTGATCCCCCAGGCGCCGTTCCGCCTTCATCAACCCCGGCGCCAGGCGCGCAGCGCCGACACCGACGTGGAGGAGAGGCAGAGCCTGGGTGGTGTGGCTGCAGACGACGAGGAGGACCTGCCTCCCACAGAGCCTGCCTCGCCCGCTCTGCTGCGGGAGGGGTCGCTGCCGCCCGCGCCAGCCGGGCTTCCGCAGCCAGCGCTGGCGCCAAGCCTGCTGGCACAGCCGTCCACCCAGGGCGCCTCGGGGCAGAAGCGGCGCAGGCTGGTCAGCCAGCGGGACATGGAGCGGCAGGAGGGCGGTGCGCCAGCTCCAGGAGAGCAGCGCGAGCAGGTGCAGGAGCGGTGCGAGCAGGTGCAGCAGGGCAACGCGTGGCCTGCACATGCTGCACCGGTGCTGCTGCCGGTGCCGACAGCCGCCCACATGGCGCCGCCGGCAGCCCCGCCAGCCGGAGCGGGCGCTGGGGATTGCACTATGGGCAGCTGCCAGATGCCCAGCGGTCTCGAGGCCCTGGCTGCACGTGCCAAGCAACAGTGGACCCACAGGGTGACTCAAGCGCTGCTGGGCGGGAACACCCAGCACGCTCTGGGGCTGCTGCTGTCACGTTGCACCAGCCCCATCCTCAAGGTGGGCGGGTGGGGCGGGGCATGCTCTGCAGCGCAGCCGACTGCATAGCGGCCAGGATGTCGCCTGCTTGTCCCATGGTCCGCAAGCATGCCCCCACCAAGTCCTCTTCCCATCGATGGATATCCATGCCTGTGCAGGCTGTGTCCCAGGGCTGGAACAGCTACCCGCAGGGGGCGCAGCAGGAGGCGCACGAGGTGCTGGTGCAGGCAGCGGTGGACGGCTTGCTGCTCAAGTCCTCGGAGCTGGGGGAGCGCATGGAGGCGGGGCTGAGGCTGTGGGGAGTGGAGCTGGGGGCGAATGGTGGCTGGGGTGCGGTTTGATGAGCAGCGCAGTGGGCGGGGCCGGTTGAGGATCCGATGCCTTGGTTTCGTTCTTGCTGCACAGCGTCCGCATGCCATCTGGGAGCGCACATCAACTTTACATGGCAGCTGCACATCATCAGCTTTACATGGCAACCTGTACAGTGCACCTCCGTTGAACCTCAAAGGATGTTGCAAGGAACTTGTAAAGCAACTAGCGAGCAGCTCAGTTTTTACCAAGCCCCACCCGTCCGACATACATGGAGCAGACCACATGCACTGCGCCCCCAAATGGCGGCGCCCCTCAGCTCCGCTTGACTTGCAGGTGCGGCATGGCCTTCTGGATGTACTGCGCCACCACTGCAGTCATGGTGGCAGAGCCAACCACCAGGCGCCTGAGAGAAGGCATCTCCGCCAGCACATTGTCGATGTCGTCGCGCTTGACCTGCAAGACAGGGAGCAAATGGGGAGGATTGCTGGGATAGCAGGAGGCGGGATGGTGGTTGTCCCTAAGCATTGCTCCCCTTGCCAAGCATTTGCCAAAGGGAGCCCACCTTAATCTTGGAGCTGCTGCTCAGCACTAGCTCCGACAGCGAGGTGGCCGCCACCAGCGCGGGCGGCAGGATGCCGTGGCTCAGGTTCTCGCCGCCAATGTCAAGCAGCTCCAGGCCTGCAGGGCAAGCAGGCGGTGTTCAGCGGGCTGGCTTCTGCTATGCCCCAGGCCGCAGGCATCGCTGCTCTGGATACTGAACAGGCCAGCTGTTTGCCTGCTCCCTCATCCAGGCTCACTCTTCAGGTACACCCCAGCCGGTATGTCTTCCAGCCGGTTCTGCCGGAATCGCAGCTTCTTGAGGCCGGTCTTAGTCTTCAACGAAACAGGGAAGGACAGGGCGCCCAGGCTGCCGGTGAGGCTGAGCGTCTCCAGCTTGCCCGCCTGCTGCAGCAGCGGGTCCAGCGCGGCAGCGACGCTGCCACCGCTGCTGCAGCTGTTGAAGTGTAGCGCGGGCAGCTCTGCCAGCAGGCGGCAGTCGCGCAGCGCGGCGGGCGCCAGCTGGCAATGCTCCAACTCCAAGTACGAAAAGGGCTTGCCGGCGGGTAGCAAGGCAGCGAGCAGGCCCTGCAGGGATGACATGGTTGAGATGCCGCCGATGCACAGCACGCCGATCTGTCTGCCAGGGATGCTGGGGTGCTGGCCCACAGCAAAGTTGCAGCCACGCAGCTGGGCATCGCCCATCTGCATAGGAACCACAGGGCGGCACCACGGGAGGTCACTGAGCGCTGATCACTGCCGTCACCGAACCAGACCAACTCCGAGTCAGTCCTTGATCCCCTTTGACACATGATACTGCATGCCCGAGCAAGAAGGACTCACTTGTATGCCGCGAGCTGCATATAGGTCAAAGCTGGCCAGGGAAGGGAAGGCGGTGGGCAGCGGCAGCTCCAGTGGCAGCTCTGCTGGGATCCTGGCTGATGACTGGGCGGTCTGCCTCAGGCCAAAGTGGCTGAGCTGCGCCAGGCACGTGAGCTGCTGCAGCGTTGTGGGGGCCACCACCGCCGCCGTCAGTTCCAACCGAGTCAGCCGCGACAGCGTGTGCACGCTGTCAGCCAGCTCAGCCGACAACAGCACGCCCGCGTGGCAGCGGAAGCAGCGCAGCTGCATCAGGCGGCCGACCACGCCGGCTGTGGCGAGCGGCAGCAGGGTGGAACTCCGCAGCTTGAGGGTCTCCAGCATGGGGAAGTCAGGCAGCTGCCGCAGCACTGCTTCAGGCACCACCCCGGCAGAGGCCAGGTCCATCTCTACCACCACCCCACGGTTCAGCATCTGCATGGATCCGCATTGGGGGCAGCGAGAGCAGGTGATGCGATAGGGGAAGAATACACCATTTTTGCACAGCAGAGCGTAGCTGCACCGAAGGTGGCTCAAGTCAATGACGGGAGGGTGCATGTGTCAAGCACTGCAAGTTGACATGCCTGCAGGAAGTTGCTGAGGTGGAGGCCGCCGGCGGCTGCTGCCGCCTCCAGCCCTCCCCAGTCGGGCACCACAAACTCCTTCACCCAGTCTGTCACCAGCGAAAGCTGCCGCAATTTGCCGAGCAGCCAGGCCTGCTGTTGGCTGATGGGCTGGCCCTGCCGCCCCGTCGTCAGGCGGAATGTGCGCCAGAAAGCCGGCTCCGACAATACTACTCGCTGCCAACGCTTGCTGACCAGGCGGACGATGCGCCTGCAAGAGGTGCACAGGTTCCGGGTGAATGGCGCCCAGCCTGCCGCTGCCGAGTGGTCACCCCCCTGCCTGCTCACCCGTGATCCAGCCCAGCCAGCTCCATGATGTGGCCAAGGATTTGGTCTGGAAGATCGTCAATGGTCGTTGCGGCCTGCCGCGCCATAATTGAGGGCTGCCTGCAGGCAAGTCGGGTGTGGGTGCGCCGCCGAATGAGCGGGACAAGCGGAGAGCGCGCGGGTCCCCGGCTCGAGTGCTCTGCTGCTGCCCACGCAGTCTCAACCTGCGCCTCCTTAATCCTACTGCTGCTCTGGGCCACGCAGCTCGTTCCAAGGCTGGATGGCAGGGACCCTGTTTACGACAATGCAGGAGTGGGCGTGCGCTTGGGAGTTCCTTCAATTTAGCGTGCTCTGCAACGCAGAATTGCCCTGGGCACGACAGAAGGTCCTCACCCCTGCCGGCGGTACAGCCGTACTTTTGGTGGTGTTTTTCCGTCTCCCAGGCCCACAGCCTTTGTTGGAGCCAGCGGTGTGTGAAAGGCAGACAGTTTTGGCAGCTCTGGCTTGGGAAACCAGGTAGAGGGCATTGCAGCTTGATGATGGGCAGGAATGGTGCCGGCCACCGCACTCCCGCACTTCACGCCGGAACACCTGCCACGGTTGCATGTTGGTTCGTCATTCGCTCCCAGTGCTCTTCAGCAACTGACCAAAACTGTCCTTTTCCCCGTCCTTTCATGATGTCTTTTCCCCGTCCTTCCCAAGCAGCGGGCGCAAATCAGCGCACGTCCCGCTGTCCAACGACGCGCTGGCCAACGTCTCGGATATCACTCCCAGCGCCCTGACCACCTCCATATTGACTTCCCACGCCAGCAAAATGTCTACCGAAGAGGTTTCAGGGCAGGGGGAGCCCGGGGTAGCAGCGCAAGCAGCCAGCCACTTAGCAGCGGCTCTGGCACGCCAGCCCCCGCCTCCCGTGCCTATACCTCTGGATGTGAAGCATCAGGAGGCCAAGTTCAAGGAAGCTAGAGCGCGCATGATAAAGATCGTAAACTGGCAGGTGATCGCCGCTTGCTTGCGTTGTTGTTGCTCCCTGGCGACCCCCAATCAGCTAAAACAGGACGAGTTCAACGGGTCGGCCAGCGCATAATGCAACAGTGCCCCGCCACTGGCGCCGCCGCTGCCGATGCCGCCTCTGCTGACTGACGACAAGCTGAATGACGAGTTTGCCCCCAAGTGGTGCGGCAGCTGAATGACGACAAGCACCGGAAGCTGGAGCAGATACTGGACACGACGCAGTATCTGCAGAAAATCTGCGGTAATGTGAAGGACAACCCGCAGGAGGCCAAGTTTCGGCGGGTGAGGTGTCTGGTTGACAGCCGATCAATGCAATTAGTATTCAGGGCGGATTCACATGAAAGGTGTGAATGACGGCCCCGGCATGCCCGCCCCTCTCTGCAGATCCGCATCACCAATGCAACCTTCTCTCGGCACGTGCGCGATGCGCCCGGCGGCGAGGTGGGTGGCGGAATGGAGACAGTTTATGTGCTGCGGTTCTTCCAGAGGCAAGGGGGGCCTTCAAAGGGGTTACAGGACATGCCCATGGGCCTGCAGCTGCCGCTGAGCGTGGGCAGGGCTGCACTACCCCACCCCCAACCTCCCGCCTGCTGCCAACCTGCCCAAGCTGCTGCTGCCAACGTGCTGCCCCTGCCCCTTCCCCCGCCCCTCCGCCTGCCTTCCTGACGCATCCCTGCAGGAGTTCATGCATGCGGCAGGCTGGACAGTCAAGGTGTCGCCGCCGCCTGGCATGCCGCCTTGGTGGCTTAGCCCTGCCTACCTGCGCTTGCATCATGTTGAATGCTGCGCCGCTCCTCCCTGCCCCACCGCAGGTTGACAACTTTGAAAAATACTTTGTGTTTGAGCCGCAGCCAGGCAGCCTGGAGTGGCGGATCCTGGAGGAGGCGTGCGCAGAGCTGAGCAAGCTGTCGGCATTGATAGATGGCAAGATCAAGGTGCGGGGGCGTGGGCAGGGCGTGGCGAAGCGAAGGCTGCTGGCTTCAGGCTGGGGCGGGACACAGCGTGCTGGACGACTGCCTGCCCTGCAGCGCGGATTGGGCGACAAGAAGGCGCTGCAGGAGCGCATGCGGCAGCAGGTGCGGGTGGCGATAGAAGAGGACAAGGCGCAGAGAGAGGTGATCTTCCAGGCGCACACGGCACCGGTGGAGGCCCAACCGCTGCCACCCTCGCCGCGGTCGCGAGCCCAGGCCGGCCGCGGCGGCGGCGACCTGTAGGCTTGCCTTGATTCATCCCTGGGTGGCCTGCCGACACTTGTGCACGGTTTTCTGCTGGTAACCTGCGTATCAATGGCCCGCTAGAGCGTATCAATGGGAACCAGCGGCGGCGCTGTGCTCACGCTGCGCGCTGGAGTGGGCCTGCACTGGCCGGTGTCTCCTTTTTAGCTTGTGATTTGTGATTCATTGCGCAGCATCACGACACGATTTGGGGGTGTGAACGGCGCATGCTTGCTGGAGTTTCGGTGGTAGCAACACAATAGACTAGACAGAGTATGAGCGGATTGCAATGTTCTTCAAGGTAAGGCCTTCTTGTGCAGCTGAAATAGCCCGATCGCTGAAGAGGCTCACACCCATCACACTTGTTGTTGCACCTGCAGGCTAGGCGTTTTCCTGCTGCCCACACGCACCGGTGCGAGGACATCGCAGCTCATGCAGCGGTTGTGCGCTAATGGGTGGTGGGCGAGTGCGGCGGCAAAACCCTGCGCCGCCGCCACCGGCGCCGGGCAGCCGACGCTGGCCCGGGCACCTTGGTTGGCAGGGAGCCCAGCGGGGCGGCTGCGTGCTCAGGCCCAGGCAAACCAGTTGGCATCCTTCCCAGCCCCAGCACCTGGCCGCAAGACGAGACGGCCGCGCAGGGCAGTGTGCGCGGCGGCGGCGGCAGCGGCAGCACCGGCAGCGGCATCCGCCACCCCATCGCTCGCCTCTGTGCTGGCGGTGGTTGTGGGCTGGCTGGTCATCGCAGGCAGCTGCATCCGCAGCCTGCCGCAAATCCTACGCATCCTGCGGAACAACAGGTGAGGGCAGGTGCAGGTGCAGGTGCAGGTGCAGGTGCAGGGCGGGCGCCGAGGCTGCGATGCGTGCCGCGATGGCTGCCACGATGGCCGTGCTCCACTGGCGATGCCGTGCCTGCCTGCTGCCCTGCCTGCCTGCAGCGTC